GGAAGAGGTTTGGTGACCACTGCTTTAAGGTACCTTCCAGGATGGTACATTATCCATTCTGTAGCTGCAGAGACATACAGTACTGTGAAAAAGTGTTAGCCACCTGAGAAAATTATACTTAAAAGTATAAATATTTAATTTGGCAGTAATCATTTATTTGCTCAGAAAAAAAGACTAATATTAGATGCAAACCTAATGCAAATCTAGTGCAAATAACATTAATACAGTAAGTAGGGATTTTCCTTGTCACAGCCCTGTGTTAACTGTAGCTATCATCCAGTACCTGGTTTGGCTAATCAATACCTCACTTAACTAAATCAGTAATGCTGGTGATTCGAACAAATTCATGCAATGGCAGGAGCACTGAGGAGAAATGACCCTTTGTTTTTCTAACTACTATTTTTTTCTGAAAACAAGAAATTCTTTTCATTTGCTTTGGTGGCTAAGACTTTTGCACAGCAAACACATTGTAAATCTGATATAGTATACCCAAATGTGATATAGTTAGCCTATATGCTTGCAGCAAGTTTCCTGATTGGACTTAACAGTATGTAATGAAAGTAGTGCCTCTTAAGGCAATCCTTTGTACCAGAACATGAATGAGGTTTTAAGTCTTCACTGTGCTTTGTAGTGACCCTGGGCAGTACAATGAAAAGTAAAAAGAGCCTTAAAGCATCTATTTTATAAGAACAACTGCATGAATGAATGGCTTGTTTGAAGGGGTGCATCCATTGCATATGGAAACAAACCAGGAACTGTATTCATGTCTGAAAGTCACTGTTGCAAGGGGCAAACCCAGAATGGAAACTCTTCTCAGAATAGATGGGCTTTCTGAAAGGACGCAGTTCCATTGCACATTTAAATTTTTTCCCTGCATCATGTATTTTGTTTGCCACAGACTGCTGATTGTACTATTGATCGATCAGGAAATCTACAATGTCAGCAACCGCATGTTGTGGTGTAATACATTGTGCTATGCAGTAAGTAAGAATGGCAGGCAGTAGTGTTGGCCAGTATCCACCTTTTTAAAACCTTGACAATGTATGTTGTGTCGCACTGCATTATGGGATCATCTGGCCATTTACAGGATTCATTCTATGTTCACATGCTGCAAACATTGACGTACACTGCAAGTGTCATGTCATGCTTCATATTGAATCAAATGAAATAAGAGTGTATCGTAATTGACTCCAGAGAGATGGCAAACAACTACATAATAATAAAACTCGCCTAATTGACGGTCTGATCCACACAAACTCCTAAACAATGAGTGGAGTAGTGATCTGGATGTGCTAATGATACCTCCTCTTTCATTCATAAACTTTTTCCTAGCTGGTGTGTAGTTGTTCCTGTTCCTTTAAGTAGGTCTGATGGTTGAAGTCACTTGAAGGTCATGTCAAAGTCAAAGTGAACTTTATTGTCATTCAGACTACAATGCAGCTGAACGAGTGCACAGCTGAACAAGATTGCATTTCTCTAGCTCTGATGTGCAAATATAACCTAAATATAACATAAAGGCAAATGTATATAGACAGAGTAGAAAGCATAGACAGACATAAAATATACGTATAGGAAAAAATATTTAAAAACCATATTGCACGTTGTTCTTAGTGACAGTATTATTGCACAGTGTAACAGAAAGTGTAAACTTGACACTAGTGAATAGTGATAAAGTGCTCAAGTAATGAGAACATTAAAATTGTAGAACACAAAATAGAGGATGTGAGTTCTGATTAATGTGTTCAGACAGTCAATGTGTATGTTCGGAGTTCAACAGTCCTGATAGGCCAGCATGTTGTGTATTGTTAGAGGAAGTTGAGTAGTCTGATGGGCTGTGGAGGAAGATATACATTCCGAGTATAGGTGCTTAGACTGTCTATATGTGTTTTCAAAACTGTCTGTGTGTGTTCAACAGCCCTGATAGGCCTGCATGGTGCATGTGTGGTTAAAGGGAGTTGGATCTTATGGTCTGTGGGAAGAAGCTCTTGCTGAATCTGTCAGTCTTGCACCATGTGTTGCGTTAGCATTTGCCAGAGGGCAGAAGGCTGAACAGGCTACAGACAGGGTGGGTGGGGTCTCTGACCATCTTGGTGGCTTGTTACAGGAAGGGAAGACACTTCTGTGCCTTCTTGACAAGGGAGGTGGTGTGTGTAGTCCATGTCAGGTTGTCCGTGATGTGACTCCACAGTGTTAACAAAGATTGTAAGTATGTACCCTGTGTTTCCTTCTGAACTCGACAATAATTTACCTGGTTATGTTGACATTCGCTGACAGGTTGTTATTGTCACACCAGATGAAGAGTTGGTTAACTTCCTCTCTGTAGGCTGAGTCGTTGTCGTTGCTGATGAGGCCCACCTCTGTTGTATTGTCTGTGAACTTGATAATGTGGTTCAAGCACATCAGTCATGAGTCATAGGGTGAACAACAGAGGGCACAGCACACAGCCCTGGGAAACAGTGTTTATGATGATGGTTTTAGAGGTGTTTATTTCAACCTGTACTGTCTGGGATCTGTCTGTAAGGATGTCCACTAACCAGTTGCACAGTGGGGTGTCGATGTCTAATGTGGCAAGTTTTTTTTACCAAGTGCATGGGAATGACTGAATTGAAGGCAAAACTGATGTACAGTTTACGGTTATTTCCCTCAGCCACCGGCAGATTTACCTCAGTTAGCTAACGTACTGACATCTTTCACTCAGCTACTGCAGGTTTACAACAGTTAACTTACTGATATCTTTTATTCAGCTACTGCAGGTGTACCTCAGTACACTTACCAATATCTTTTACTCAGCTACTGCAGGTTTACCTCAGTTAACTTACTGACATCTTTTACTCAGCCACTGGCACGTGTAAAGGAGAGGATTCAGGCAATATTTGATTTATATCAGTTACTCCCTTATTTCACTCAGTTTTGGCATATCCCACTGTAGGTAGATTTTTAGCAAACCCTGCCTGGCTAGTTAAAATAATGACATTATTACTGTACTGTACAATATTAACCCCGCATAATCACACAATAGACAGTAGATCACACAAATCTTCCATTTACACTAAGGAAGCAGTCAATCTAAAGTAAAGGCTAATCGTCTGGTAGCTCAGCTAACGTTACTAGCCCAGTCACAGATAACTAGTAACTTGCTTCACCTTGTACCTTTTAGCTGGAAAACAGGGTGTTTTTCAGATACTGCTACATAAGGTAGAACAAAGCACAAATATGTTTTTATGTAACTTTGATATGCCTAGTTTGTGAAATAGATGGTATAAATATATAAGATCATATAAAAATATTTTACTGCACAGTTTTATGTTATATTATTTAATATTTGAATGCTCCCCAAAACCAGAAAATGTGCAAATTTAGGCTTAAAGGGACAGTGTCTGTATTATCCCTTATATTTCACAAAATAAAATTCAGCATATGGCCAACTTTAGACTGACTATGCACAAGCACATACTTTATGTCCTAAAGAAAAGATAACACCAATATTCTTGTCCATTTTCTAAATACAGGCCCTTAAACATATGTGTGCCATAGGCAGAAACTGCTGTAAAAATTCTATATCAAAACTGTAGAACAGGCTTGTGCCATTAATATAATAATGATGCTAAACATCAAGAAATGTTATTTTGTACTTGTCTGATTTTCTGATCATAACCACAGCCCACAGCGGTTCCACCACCAAAAGCAAAGAGTTTTTTTTATACACTCCTTCTTCACACATTAACACCCCTTAATTTCTTAGAAACAACCAGCACTGACCCAGAAAAATATCATAGGTTGAAATGTGGTTTGTTCTACGTAGGGTGGGGATATGTCAAATTTTAGAGGCCCCTGAGGCATTTGTGAAAAAAAGTTAGTTGGCCAAACATGTCAAATGCAATAAAACGACTAAATGATGTTGAAAGTTTTATTCCATCAAATCTAGGTTTCATGGAATAAAATGGACTAGATTTATAAAACAAGCTTGATGTTCATGTACTGCTTAACCAGAGCTGCGTCTGAATAGCTGATTAAACCTTCCTGTCTTATATGCTATAGAAATAAAAGTAAAAGTATATCTATTTGCTATATAAATATGCAAATAGATATACTTTTACTTTTATTTCTACTCTCTATCTATCTAATCTGTTTTCTTTTATTTTGCTCCAATCTGTGATCCGTCAGATGCACATGCTAGTCATCTCTCAACGTTTTGTGAGACCGTAAGCTACAGATCAGCCAAAAGCAAGCAAAGTATTTTTCAACCATTCTAAACCAGCCTGGACTGGGAGGACACCTTTAACACCTTTTGCCATCTTGTCTAGCGTTATTTTAAAACTGAAACAAAGTAGTTCACTTTACATGGTTACCAAATAAATGAACACAGTGCATTTTCAAGCAGTCATTCCATAAATGTGAAATTATCTGTTGAAGAATTGCTAAATGTTAAACAGTGTTGCGATGTAGGAGAGCAGCTAGCGTTAGCTTTGCTAGCATGATAACAGCTCAGCCCACCACAGACCACGTTAGATTGTGGCTAACTAAGGGACTTACACAAGTTTAGAAGATTAAAAAATTATGATCAACATCTGAGAGTGAAGTCGAGCAATGTTGAAGGGTCAGAAAGGCAAAATGAAACCTGTTCTGTGATGTTAATGTTAACGTTAGCTTAGCGTGCTGACCATGGACCCAAACAGTGTCACCCACCACTGTACAGGCTTGATTCTGAAAATTGATGCTCTGTTGAAACAAATTTAGATTATAAAAATGTTTGAGAGAGCAAAAATAGAGTAACAGTAAGCCGAAATCAAACCTGTCCGGTGGTGTTTGGGAGACAGCTTAGTTAGCCGGCCAAATGTAGCACACCATAGCATTGGATTGGTTGTAGGTAACTGATGCTAAAATGACACGTTTTATAGCACAAAGTCAAGTGACTGGTGTTGGGAGTGAAAACTGCTTAACGTTAGTTTTTCTGAAGTTTTCCCTGGCTCTTACTCCTTGTGTTTCTGTATCCTCCGCAGATGAGATTATGCAACAAGAGATAAGGCCTCTGCTGGCCGTGGACATCATTGAACAGCTTCATCGGCAGTTTGCCCTGCTGTCAGGTAAGAGACTCCTTCTCCAAATTCTCTGCTTTTGGCAGTGAAACTGCTGTGGGCTGTATTCCATTTAGGAAGATTCCACAGGTGTAATATATATGGCATGGAATACATCAGGCTGCTAGCAGGTTTGTTGTGAATATCCAACTGGAGGATTGTTGACGGAAATCCTTCCAAGGACAGTCAGTGGACATATCCAGTAGTACATGTGCTTGTACTTATCCTTTGAAAGTGACCTTGTCAGTCAATTTCACAATATCACTGAAAATAAAGAAAAAAGAATAAGATAATGTTCCTTCTTCCCATGATCTTCAGGAAATAGGTATGGTACAACTTTCTGTTAAATATGTGACTTATGGAATATTACAGAAATTAAATGCCCCCTTTTTCTGATAAAGCAGATTTAAACATAAATACATCAGTTGAACACAGAATTAGTAGAACAAGTAGTTTTGTTCACCAGTGGTCATTTCCAGAAAGGAAAGGCTAATATCTAGCATTGGCTTCTGACCGTCTTTTGGCCTGATCTGTGTGCTGAGAAGATGAGCATGATTTTGAGCAGATGTCCGGCTGAGCACTGATCAATGTTAATGTGTTCGGATCACTTCCCACTGAGCATGTAGACTGAGAGCTAAGACAGCAATCCTTGGTGTTAAAAGCATAACGGGTGCGAACAGGAAACCAGAAGCTCTGAGTGAGTGAATAGGAGAAAATGGAGAAAATACCTGAGTACCCTGAACAAACTGCTGTTTTTGTGGAAATAGATTGTGATATAACAGATTGCCTGTCCTGTTGTTCATCTTTAACATGTTTTCTGTCACATTTTAACAAGCTAAGATGTTTAATACAAAAAACAAAGGCTTTGTGACATGAGTAACAGCAAGATGTAGTTGATGAATTAGGGTTCATCTACGGCATTGGGCCAGCGTCTTAGAAAACTAATTTCTAAGAAGAAAAATCACCAAACGGAGTCAGTATGATCAACAAAATACAATGGAAAAGTATGTGGTAAACAACTGGTACATACTTGTATAATCAGTATTACAGTATTCCATCATACCCTCATGGTGCTGAGCCTGTAAAATAAATGCCTAATAATGTTAGACAGCTCCCAAGCAGGTAAGGTGAAATAGAAATAGTTGCTAAATGATAATGAACATTGTATTATATTTTCATACGTTTGGCTACGTTTGCTAGTCAATTTAAAAGATTATGAACATTGTACTGTATTTTCATAGGTTTGTCTATGGTTTGGCTGTCGTTTAGTCAGCTAGCATGTGACTAAGCTACATCTGTTACATCAGAGATAGCAGTTGATGTAACCTGGTGGAACTCCCAGCCTTGCTCCTCTACAGGGAGTTTTCCATTCTTCCCCGCCTGTGTTACACCACCTGGGGCCTGGACAGCATTGCCAAATCCCGCCATGGAGCTGTGATCTGTTGCTCTGCGCAGCTACAGATGTTATGCAGTGTTATGGAGGGGGGGATAACTGCAGAAGCTTTTATATTCATTTAACTTGCTTCTCCTCACTTCAAAGAATAGACCTCTTGGTGTAGCTTCACGCTTCTTTATTTCATCAGACGTGCATTTCCTTTCATGCTTCAGTTTAGTTTGAATCATGCTAAATGAGTCTAATTCAGGCTCAATTTTGCTAATGGTGGTTCTGATGTAACAGATGACTGAAGATGGGAAGAATGCACTGCAGGACTCAAATGAAATCAGCTTCAAACACTCTGTTCTGACCTCGGTGCAAGGATGTAATATAGTAGTCAGTAAGTCTGCTTCTAAGCCTATGTCAAATTATCTCACCATGGTGAAAACATTGAACAGAATCCTGTGTTTGGGCTGTCTGACCTTTAAATTTAGTAGACAAAGGTCCTGTTTTTGGTCCATCACATCCTTGTAGAAAAGCTGTTAGCCATTCTGCACTCTATTGTAACCCATTATTTAAAGGCAGTGTTGTGCTGAGAACAGGACTGAATATGTGAAATCCCTGTCCGTTGTACGTCTGTCATCTTGAGAGAATTTGGGAGATTCTGTATAATTGGAAATGTCATACTGGCAAGAATAATAGGTGTGATTTTATCAGGATGAATTTGGAAAAGCAGTGGAAAGACATTTGGTATGGGGAACCTGTACATGTGGAGAGAGAGAGCTTCTTTGTGTTCATGGAGAGAAAGAGAGAGAAAGATCGAAAGAATGATGACACAAAGAACGTGTCACAAAGATTGCACATAGACACAAATGCGCAATCTTTCATCTAGAACACTTTTGTAACTACCATTTGCCTACCAAGCTTATGGCTATGTTCTGGAATATGAAGGTCCAAACAGAACGAAAATGTAGTAGGTACTTTAGAGTAGGGTACTTTAGAGTAGGGTATTTTCGAGACTGGACGCTGAATCTCGGCTCCAAAGTGTGCAGCATAGCGCGAAAGCCCTTGTTCTCAACGACCAGAAACAGACAGCAGACAGCAGGTCACATAGCACCGAGGTCTGGCCTCGCCAGTAGCGAACAAAAAAACAGAGATTAAGACGAACATTTGGAGGACATATTCGCATTTATTAGCAGCGCGGTTGGTTAAATCTGCAACGAGAGACTGTCTTTCTTGAAAAAGTTGCGAAAATGAACTCGCTTCTCTTTCAAATTTTCCCGTTCCACCTTAAATGGTGCAGCAGTTACATTCGGCGCCTAAGGCAGAATTTAAGGTGAAACGGGAAAATTAGAACGAGAAGCCAATGAGAAGCGACTTCAGCCTCGTAAAACATCCGAATGCTGAGACATTTTACAAGAAACTCTTCTAGTTTTGAAGAAAAGTTTTCTGGCGGAGATGGGAGGAAAGCAGCTATAGCTAAAGCTTAAAGCAGAGCAGAGTAAATCTGCGCTCTCGTTTATATTTTTAGCCCATACTAGGACATTAACACATACTGGACATTAAATGTTGTGGCTCCCAAGGTGGTTTGATTTTTGTTGAAAGGTCAAAATGGCTCTTCTATATATATGTGTTGTGACTCCTGACCTAACCTGGCTAATGCAGAGGGAGCCGGGTGTTGTGCCGAATTCCGACTCCCCGGCAGAATCCGACTCCCCCTCGCGTGCACGTGCTTCACGTAAACGTGGACGTTACGGACTGCACTCAGGATTTCGCTTTATCTTTAATTTTCCTCCACAGCGAACAACACAACAGGATCTAAAGCCAAACAAAGACTCTCACTGTGATGATTTAGTTTAATATTACGAAATAAAAACGATTGTTGTTGTTGCAGTACTTGAGAACTGGTGGGACTGAATGGCTTTCAGTCATGACGATAAGTATTAGGACACATTAAACACAGCTTTAAACCTCTGTCTGGAGCACTAAAGCTCACATCTGAGGACCTGACGCTGCAGCATTGGCTGACTTGTTTTACTTGTCATTATTCAGCAACCAGACTTTCATTGCTTGCATAGCTGGACAAATTAACGAATTAGTATCCATTACTGCATAAAAGAGTTGCCTATAATTAAAAATTGCAGTAAGAACAATTGTTGTAAAGGTAGTAATTTAAGATTAATTTTGGCTGAAAAGTCTTCAGCTTCTACATAGTCAGAAGGTTTATTGTGAACCTGTCAAAATGATGCCCCTCATATCTCTGGGGATGCATTATGACTGGAATAATTAACCTGTTCTGCTGACTTCTGGTTCATAGATTACAGCATATAAAGCATATTTCTCTAAATTCAACAGAGGGGATTTTACTGGGGGAGTAGAATTTTGGCAGGATTATTTTGACAACTGCCGAAATTACACTCCCCCTCTGATCTCAGCACTGCAAGGTCTGAATGACATCTCCTTTATTTTGCGTCCTGAAATGCATTTTACTCTAGATTCAACAAGGGGGATTTTACTGGGGAGGTAGAATTTTGGCAGGATTATTTTGACACCTTATTTGATATACAGTAAACTTTGTTACAGTATTTTTTCTGCAGAATATTAAAGCATTAATACAATGTACATTTGGATTTCTGATTTGTAGAAATTGATGAGGTTCCTTTGATTAATAACATTGTAATGTCAGGCTTGTTTTTAATAAATCTTTTAGTTTCTTATTTCTTTCTTGTATTTCATTTACATATTTATTGACTTATGTCAAATCATTAATAACATAAAAGGTTTGCTCATGAAGAAAAATTCTGAACGCATCATTTTTCTATTCTTATGACGACTCTTGTTTTGTGTGGTGGAATCGACGTGAGCGACAGGTCGTAATTTGTTCAGCTTTACGTACTTAATTTTCATACTCCTTTCTTTCTTATCTGTAAGAGTAAGAATGAGTGTAATTTTGGCAGGTGTCAGAATAATCCTGGCAAAAAATTCTACTCCCCCCAGTAAAATCCCTCCTGTTAAATCTAAAGTAAAATGCATTTCAGGACACAATCTACAGCCCAGGACATGCTAGCAAAATAAAGGAGATGTCATTCAGACCTTGCAGTGCTGAGATCAGAGGGGGAGTGTAATTTCGGCAGTTGTCAAAATAATCCTGCCAAAATTCTACTCCCCCAGTAAAATCCCCCCTGTTGAATTTAGAGAAATATGCTTTATATGCTGTAATCTATGAACCAGAAGTCAGCAGAACAAGTTAATCATTCCAGTCATAATGCATCCCCAGAGATATGAGGGGCATCATTTTGACAGGTTCACAATAAACCTTCTGACTATGTAAAAGCTGAAGACTTTTCAGCCAAAATTAATCTTAAATTACTACCATTACAACAATTGTTCTTACTGCAATTTTTAATTATAGGCAACTCTTTTATGCAGTAATGGATACTAATGCGTTAATTTGTCCAGCTATGCAAGCAATGAAAGTCTGGTTGCTGAATAATGACAAGTAAAACAAGTCAGCCAATGCTGCAGCGTCAGGTCCTCAGATGTGAGCTTTAGTGCTCCAGACAGAGGTTTAAAGCTGTGTTTAATGTGTCCTAATACTTATCGTCATGACTGAAAGCCATTCAGTCCCACCAGTTCTCAAGTACTGCAACAACAACAATCGTTTAACGTTTTTATTTCGTAATATTAAACTCATCTTATTAAATCATAATATTAAATCATCACAGTGAGAGTCTTTGTTTGGCTTTAGATCCTGTTGTGTTGTTCGCTGTGGAGGAAAATTAAAGATAAAGCGTTATTTACACAGAAATAACCTGAGAAATCCTGAGTGCAGTCCGTAACGTCCACATGTTTACGGGAAGCGCGTGCACGCGAGGGGGAGTCGGATTCTGCCGGGGAGTCGGAATTCGGCACAACACCTGTTGGATTTCTCACTCATCCACTTGTGTTTTTGTTATGTGCCACCACAGACTGTCCGGGCGCTGCACTTCCGCACTTCCAGTTCCGCCTTTTGCGTTCCGTCAACATTACGTTATAAATTAAATATTTAGAAAATCGATTTTTGACATTTGTGAATCGATTCAGAATCGTTCATGTCCTCATCACGATGCATCTAAGAATCGAGTTTTTCCCGCACCCCTATTTCCCTGTAAAAACTTCCTTAAAAATGAGACCAATGTTGCTGAAGAAAGTGAGATCTGTACAGCTTATAATCGCTTAGAAAGGGAGGTCTGTGGCAGTCAAGGTTGTGGACTCCTCTTTTTATGTTTTCATTCATTTGGTTTATCTACATATTGAAAAGAAAAAGTGTTTTGACTGATTAAGAAGTAAGTCAGAGGTATGATCCATAGGTATTGTGCATTTATTGGTTTCAGCAAGGGTCACACTGAAAGGTCATCTGATTCACCCACTTGATTCCTAAATGTTACGTTGCTGTATACATTAAAAGGCATTAGCAAAAGTAGAGTTTTTCCCTATGGCTACTTTCTTACTTATTTTTTTCTGACTGTGATATTTCCATCGTTTACTGTGGTTTATGAATTATTGCTCTCAAACATCAGTATCAAGAAGCTGTGAATTGTTTAATGATGTTATGTGCTGCTTTGAAATACAGTGTTGTTTCTGCCCACACAGGAGGTAGAGGACAGGATGGTGCCCCAATCATCACCTTCCCAGAATACTCTGGCTTTAATGAGCTTCCTGAGGAGGACTTCATTAACGTAGTCACGTATCTGACCAGCATACCCAGGTGAGCCTACCTTCACCCTTTAACTTTTTAAATTGTGAATATAGTAGTATAGTATTAATAATTTTCTTATTTTTAATGCAGTTGTTTGAAGTGTCCCAAGGCATTGCTCTCCTACCTACAGTCTCTCTCTTTTCAGTCTGGATGCGGCCAGTATTGGTTTCATAATTATCATTGACCGCCGACGGGACAAATGGAGCTCAGTGAAGGCCTCGCTTGCTCGGATAGCGGTAAAAAAAGTTGGATAGCAGTTCAAATTATTCCCTGCTGATATCTTCAGATCTGAAAAGCTGTTGGGCTGGAATGATGAATATTCTAAGTTTAATTCAGTGAAAAGTAATGTGTTTTTGCTATAGTAAATAAATAAGCTGCAAATTCAGACATCCGCACAACACCCACAGTGAGCAAGAATGATCCAGTAGTTGACATCAGTGTAGTATGACATTTAGCAGTCTTTGTAAGGCAGTGACGCAAAGTTGTCAGAAGCAGACAAAAGTCTACTTAAATGAAAGTAAGAAAGAAGACTACATGAATGATAAGAGCCTGAAGGTGCAGAACGCACTTAATTTGACAATATTTAATAAAAGTATTTTCAGTGTGTATTTCCAGGCGGAGTTTAAATTATAATAATTAATAAGCAAATATTAAAATGTGGATTTCTTGTATACAGTCTAGACCACAGTGCCATGACTTATCAGTTAATGTAGACTAACATAAAATGGCCTAAAGCACAAAAGTATGCATAATATAAACATAATAATACAACGTGGCCTAAAAATTCTTTTAAAAATTGCAGGCTTAACCTGCTTGTTAAATCTGCTGGTGTTACACTTTTGAACACCTGCCATTATTTTCCCTTCTGTGTGCAAAACCACAGTTGAGTAAAAAGAAGAAAATGCTACCAGTCATGACTGACATTAAACTATAAATAGTTCAAGAACAGAAAATCATTAGAATAGATTTTTGCTATTATATATTTCAGTATGTTTAAATGTCAATGCTTTTTAACTTTCATTCACGTATATTTTTGGCTCCATATTCAATTTGTCTATACTTTTTCGACCACTGACATTTGTTGTAGCAATAGTAAATGTAAAAGTAAAATACCTAAAAAGTCCTAAAAGTACAGTGACTAAAGCATGTGTTTTCTGTCAGAGCTGGAGGACAGCTGGTGGATCGGTATCCTCAAAATTAATAATATAGAAGAGAAAGGCCAAGGAGGATAATTGAGTTCACAAGGTTAAGGTGTTACAAAATGAATCACTATTTTCCTATACAGTGCATCTCAGTCAAACATATTAAGATGCTGGTGTCACAGCATGACTGACAGCTATCACAGTGATGATTGTATCAAAATAAAGGTTGCATGAGATCACAAGGAAAGATGAAAAGTGATAAATAATTTGACCTGAAGCCCTTTTCATTGATGTGACATTTGTTTTTGTGATCAACAGGGGGCATTCCCAGGCAACTTGCAACTAGTTCTAGTGCTGAGGCCCTCACGTTTCTTCCAAAGAACCATTGCTGACATTGGCATCCGGTTACACCGGGATGATTTTAAAATGAAGGTACCGGTAAGCATGCTTCAAGACTTTGTTTTCCTGAGCTCAAGTGTGTAATGCATGTGTATGTATGTATGTATATATATACATATATATACACACACACTCACACATACACACAGAGTGGGAGAGACCATCCAGTCAAAACAGCAATTACAAACTAATTATTGATTTTTCAGGATTAAAAACGAACTACGGTTCAAACGGTTAGAAACACTTGTCATATTAATAATTCCTGTCATTTTGTTCAGTAATAACAATAACACAGTTTAGAGTAAAGTAAAATACTAAATAGCATGCTGTGATTATCTATTTATAGCAGTTGATGTATAGTAATTCCTTAATAAGTTATCTTCCTCAAACTTTTATCACCACTTTTAAGTATGACGCACTCTAGATGTTAATTTGATTCAAATTTTATTCACCGCGATATGCAGCTTTTTAATCATTATGGAATCATCTACAGCTCTGTTTATCATTTGCGATCTAAACATTCTTGCATTTTTACAACTCCCTACTAGTTATTTAAAACCTATGAAGCTTTAGAGTACTAGCATCATAATATATGAATAATATATTATGATGCTAGTATATAATAATATATTCAAGATTCCCTCTTGCTTGTTGAATGTGACGAATGCATGGTGTTCATATGTAGCCCAGTTTATTTTTTGCATGCAGTGTGTTTTGAGTCATATCTTTGGGTTGAGGTTTTTGTCGTTCTGTTTTTCTCTGTGCATGGTTTCCTCTTGCGTAGCTGCTGTGAAACAGCGAGACTGAGAAAATCCAAAAAGAAGCATGTAAATGTGTAAAAGTGCAGTACCATGAATACATCAGATACATTTTGCACAGATGCTCAGGGCTATCAGCAGAGATCCTCAGGTGGACATGTTTTTCTGCAGTCGCCTGGCAGCTGAGAAGTCTTCTCTGTAATGTGTTTTCAAACAGCGGCCATTGTAATAAAGATGTACACTGAGATCTTGCTAGCTCTGTTTTAGTTTCAGAGGAATAAGAAAATAAAGACATGCAGGAGCTGCCCCTGTGACCCAGCTTTTGGCAGTCATTACCCTGTTAGGTCATCCACATTGTAATCCATGTGATGTTGGGGTGTATGTTCAAACAGATGCTAAATAATTTTATTATTTAATTATAAACAATCTTATTGGTTGAACATTATATGTAAAAATTTTTGTAGACACCAGCACAATTGAATGCCTGTATCAGATATGGGTGCACCTTAAAGTAGCTGAATTTACTCATTAGAAGAGCTGTCTGGATACTTTTGGGTATATAGTGTATATATGGTTTGATTACTCCGTGGGTGGACTTGGAGCTTGGTGCAGCATTTTCCACAGTATTCTGCTTGTTCTTATTACCTTTTAGATTGTCATGCTGAATTCCCTTTCTGATCTGCATCGTTACGTGGACAAAGGTCAACTGACATGTGAATTAGGGGGCAGTCTACAATACTGTCACAGTCAGTGGATCCATCACCGCACAGTGAGTCTGAACCCTTGTATCATGGCTAAATGATACACCGATCAGGCATAACATTATGACCACCCCCTTGTTTCCACGCTCATTGTCCATTTTATCAGCTCCACTTACTATATAGGTGCACTTTGTAGTTCTACAATCACAGACTGTAGTCCATCTGTTTCTCTGCCTACTTTGTTGTTCTTCAGTGGTCAGGACCCCCATGGACCCTCACAGAGCAGGTACTATTTTGGGTGGTGGATCATTCTCAGCACTGCAGTTACACTGATGTGGTGGTGGTGTGTTAGTGTGTGTTGCGCTGGTCTGAGTGGATCAGACACAGCAGTGCTGCTGGAGTATTTAAACACCTCAGTGTCACTGCTGGACTGAGAATAGTCCACCAACCAGAAATATCCAGCCAACAGCGTCCTGTGGGCAGCATCCTGTGACCAGCATCCTGTGACCAGCATCCTGTGACCACAGATGAAGGACTAGAGGATGACCAACACAAACTTTGCAGCAGCAGATGAGCTATTGTCTCTGACTTTACATCTACAACGTGGACTGACAAGGTAAAAGTGTCTAATAGAGTGGACACAGTGTTTAAAAGCTCCAGCCGCACTGCTGTGTCTGATCCACTCGTACCAGCACAACACACACTAACACACCACTACCACGTCAGTGTTACTGCAGTGCTGAGAATGATCCACCACCTAAATAGTACCTGCTCTGTGAGGGTCCATGGGGGTGCTGACCACTGAAGAACAGGGTAAAAGGGGGCTAACAAAGTATGCAGAGAAACAGATGGACTACAGTCTGTAATTGTAGAATGACAAAGTACACCTATATAGTAAGTGGAGCTGATAAAATGGACAATGAGCATAGAAACAAGGAAGTGATCATAATGTTATGCCTGATCGGTGTATCTTCTCATTTACTGAACATTGATTTTTTTTTTTTTCTGTTGACAAGTGACCTTAGATATTTTGATTACTTTTAGGCTACCTATATTGGGACTTCATAATGTATGCCTGAGCATTAAATAACAAACCTCAGTTAGCAAGTATTGTTTTTTAAAGATGTGTAATGGTGCATGTGTGAAGTCCCTATATACACAGCCTACAAATAAAGTGTTATTGGTATTTTTGCACATGTTATGTTGTGTGAGTATTCTTAGCATAGATGTAACCTTCATTAGGGTCCTGTACATGCTGTATCTACAGCATAGACATCTTAAAACAGCTTATATACTGTGAACCCCAAAAAGTATATGGACAATTGTGCTAAACCTAAAAATGTACAAGCTCATTGTGTTGAATGAAAAAAGTCAAACCAAATGACATTATTTTTAAACACATCATTCCAATATTCTTTCAAAAGGTAGCTGGTGTATTTCACATCGTTATTGTTTAAGCAGTTTCTTTGCAGACTTCTGCAGGTTTGCATCCAGAATGCCTTCTTAGTTCAGGATCTCAGACTTAGACATTTCCACATTTGTGCTTTACAGTATTCTTAGTGCAGTTTGCTTGGAAAATTTCAAGCTTTCTCCACAAAGAGCCTACTATCAGTTTGATGTTGTGCTAAAAGAGTTTATCTCTGAAACAAATATGATTTTGTTGAACGTTTTATAAGTGAATCTAAATAACACCTTTATTAGATTACCAAAGGTTGAAGGGTTAAAGTGTCCAAGTACTTTTTGGGGCCATTTTAGGTCTAGACTGTATCTACAGTGAGGAGAACCAGGAATTCTGACACTTTAGTTTGTGTGATTTAATGTAATTCCAGTGCATATATCCACTTCAGTTTCACACACATAATGTCTTTTGACTTTGTACTTCTAAATACAGTCAAAAAAGAATGTGTTCTTAAGTATAAGATGCTTAAAAATCGATAGGGGAAAAAGTATTAGCCAGGCCAAGTAAGCACCTTCACCTTCTTTTTTAGAAAGTAACCTTTAGTTATTTTGGCTGTATGTTTGGGGCTGTTGTCTTGTGATTGTGGACTTCAGAAGGACACAGATACCTCACATTCTTCCACTCATCAGCAGTATAGTGGTGGAGACAGTGCACAGCTTCAAGTTTTTGGGAGTGCTCATCACTGACAATCTTTCTTGGTCCCTGAACACCTCCTAAATACTGAAGAAGGCTCAATAGTGCCTCTACTTCCTAAGGAGACTGGAGGGAGCACACCCATCCTCGACTGCTTCTACAAAAGCATTGTAGGGATCATCCTCACCTGCAGCATCCCTGTTTGGTATAGAACTTGCACCGCCTCAGACAGGACGGTAATGAAGACAATTATTGGGTCAGGTTTCCCTGCCGTTTAGGACATCTACACTAAATGGTGTAAAAGGAAGGCATATGGCATTATCCATCACACGGACTGTTAACACCACTCCCATCTGGAGGAGCATCTGGGACCGGTTCTCCACACAGATCTACCTGATGGACCTGTAAACATTCTCTGAACTGCTACTTAAGCACCTTACCTACTGCACCTGGTCACTTTGATGTGAAACATTATTCTTCACTCACTTTAAATGCACAGTGACTTTAATCTGTACATTGTCTGCAGTTTTATTCATTTACTTGTTGTGCTATTAAAGGCTAATATTGTCAAAGCTCTGATAATAATTCACACAATATTATTATTGCTGCTGTAGACCAACAAGTGGTTTATTTTCCACAACCCCTTTATTCAATGGCTAGTCTCTACTATCCTGCACTCTCAGAAAAAAAGGTACGAAACTGTCACTGGGACAGTACTCCTCATGTCACTGGGGTGGTACCCTCAAGGGTACATCTCAGTACCTTTAGTCAGGGAACATAATTGTACTATAATTCATTGGAACTATATTTTCTAAGTTGTACTGACTCCACACACCCCGTCTCGTCTCCAGGCTTTTACTTTATTTTTCTGTTTTAAAACATTATGTTATGAAAGAGTACAAATACGTACTGTTCACCTGGTAAAAACTTATTTAAAATACACAATTGGACCTTAAAACCACGGTTTACCTTTGAGGGTACATTTACATTGTTTGTACCTTGATAAATAAAAACTGTACCTGCACAGAACCTTTATTTCTAACAGTGTGTGGATAATTTTTTAATAGCTGTATAGTTAATTTATAGCGCATTTTATTGAACCAATTGAACTGACAGAGATGTTTAAGGTCTTTACTATGGCTCTGTAGCTTTTTCTATTTGTGTTTTTCAATAATTTTGTCCCTGAGAACTTTAAGAAGTTCCTTCACTTTGTGGATGTATGCACTGACAGTATGTTAAATAACAGAAGCAAAAGTGCCTGAGTACTTGTTTCCCCTCCACTGTATGCCTATAGATAAGATTTGTTTTGTTGTGCCTAGTGACACAAGGAATATGAAAGACTTGTCTTGTTAACTAGGCCATTGAAAACTTTGCTGTGACGGTGAAAACTACAGCCCAAATGTTACAGAAGTTTGGGACAGACTTAGCAGAAACCGAACTCCCCAATGATGTGCAGTGCACCAAGGAGCTGCTGACAGATCACACAGAAAAACATGACAAGCTCAAGGTAGGGGAGCACGTTTAATTACAATAAAATGACTGTGCACATATATTGTGCTCTTTTTTACATTAAATATGCATAATGTTTATGACCCACACATTTCTGTGTTTCAGGATGAACTAAAGTTAGCAGTGAAACAAGGAAACACTCTGTTATCATGTATCAAAGACCAGGCCAACAAAACAGAAAACCACAAACTAAATCCGGATGAAATGGAAAATCAAACCACTGTCGAAAGGTTTGTTGTGCCTTTAGTCTCTGGTTTCCTTTGAATGTTGCAACATGTTCTGTCATACTTTACAGTCTTGTCAATGAATGCATAAAGCTTTCAAGTTTTGATTGGAAAGTGAAGTGCAAAGCTATTCAAAATTACTGCAAAACTTAGTACAGTTTTATATTATTTCTTATTTCATAAAGCATCTTATGAGCAGTGACATTTTTGTCGCTGAGCTTACAAGCCTTTCATTTGCACCTTATTCGATCACATACTGTGATAGTGTGAGCTGTGGCTTTTGCTTTGCGTGAGAACCGTTGTTGCTCAGTGACACTCTGTTGGTTACTGGCTAGCAGCAATCTCAAGTAACTTACTGTGAATGACATTTAAAGGTGTAATTTGACCAAATAAGTCACTTTGCCTTTGATATTAGGTTGAGTTTTTTGGGTAGAATTGTTAAATAGCAAACTGATTTGAATGCTTGTTAGCCCTTTGAATTTTGGTACATTTCAATAATGCAGACTTAATGCACAACGACTGTGCTATCTCATACAAATCACAAATCACTTTCTTTGCCGAGTACATGGACATATAGATTTTTAATCTTTTTTGGTGTTGGTCTCACATCAAATGTGAACTGTAGTCAGAATAAATGAAGGATATAATTTCTACAAATGAATAATAAAAAAATCATTTAAATAAAGTATAATAAATACTAATAATTTATATAAATGCACACTACAAGTGGTTAATTTAAATTAGCTATAATAAAGAAAAATATTTGGTTTGCTTCTTTCCAGTTTTGCACTAGAGCTGCGAGGCTAATGTATCTAAAAAGAAAAATGCATGTCAACCTAGCTAATAAAACAGGGAGATGAGTAATGGAATATCTGTAAATCTGGTAAAAAGCAAAACAAAAAAAAAACATTGAGCACAGACAGATATCAGACATTTATCATTGTTCAACTGGATCAGAAATCTGTGTTTGTGCAAGTATGTGTTTTGATTGTCCTGAGGGCTGCTCTGTGTTGTGTAAACCTGATTTCCACTCTGATCTTTACTTTAATGATGCACCACTTAAACACACCTACATACTTTGCAAAATTCATATTGTTCCAATAGTTTTTACTTCTCTAAGTAATGAAATGAAACTGTTAATTTGGGAGGGTTTTATGTTGTGGGTTGTCTTGGTTTTGCTTTGCATACGGTTTGGTAGCCTGTTTAAATGTCAGCACACAAAATGTAGATCTAGGCCTGCGGGCCAATTTTGGCCTGTAGGGATGTTTGATTCACCCAACTAGAGAACAAATATTTTTTTTTCACAACATGTAACTCATTAAACTTTCATTTTTCTATTTGAATTTTTTTAACATTTTAGTAGTAAAATACAGATGAGTCTCATGAGTAATCCATGAGATTTGACAGCTATGAAGTAACAGAAGCATTGTGTAAACTGCGTTGTGCAAACTGCATGCCTGTGTCATCACACACTTCCCTCAAACCATGTTCAGTTGTTACCTACAAAGACCAAGCAGTTGCTTATGTGGTTTCTGACAATGTATGAGTATTATGCTGTCAGTAATTTTTTTTTTCTTTTTTTTTTCACAGGTTATTGGCACAATTGGATGAGACAGAAAATGCATTTGAACAGTTCTGGTCCAAACATCACCTCAAGTTAGAACAGTGTTTACAGCTCAGGCATTTTGAGCAAGACTTTAGAGAGGTATAGTGACCTGTGTGCCAAATCTCATACATCTGTCATTCTTTCCTAATAAGCATACTTTCTGTCTTCATCCAGTGTTGCTATGGAATCTTTTCAGTATATGCTGTGTGTTTATGTGTGAAGGTAAAAGTGTCTCTGGACAGCCTGATGGAGGCTTTGCTGGAGCTCTCAGACATTGGGGACTGTGTTGCTCGTGTAACACAGCTGCTGAAAGAACTGAAGAGTCTAGAAGATAGTGCTCAGGTTTGACTCATCATCACACCCTTATATCTTACATTTGTGGTCTAACTGCATTAACTAGTGGGGGAACTAAAAACTCATCACAGAGTAATGGTATCTGAGTACAGTCAACTTAATCACAGCTGTCTTATGTAAATGTCCTCACTCCAGAATTTCAGTTATAATACTCAGGGTTAAAGCTGCGCAGTCTTATGTTGTAAGGGTTTCGTGTCTGGTTCAGCATGCCACGTTTTACAGGAGTCTTTGGAGAAGGCACAGCTACATGCCCTGCACGGTGACCAGCTCATCCAGAGCAACCACTACGCTGTGGACTCTATCCGGCCGAAATGCGTGGAGCTGCGCCGCATTTGTGATGACTTCAGCAACGAAGCCAAGAAGAAATATGACATCTTGTCCAAATCACTTGAGATCCATACAGGCATAGACAAGGTTGGCAGAACCACATAAAATATGTCAGATATGCATATCACTTCACCAATTTAATGTGTTCTGCTAAAAGAGATCGACAGTGTCCCCAACATAATTTGATGAACGAAGAGTAATGTACACAAAGTAGTTTAAGAGATGGCCAATCTTCATATAACTAGCCAATCCGGCATGATTTATGAAATACATTTTATGGCTCATTGCTCTTCTGTCAGTAAGAAAGAGAAATGCTGCACTGTCACACCTGCTTGGTGGAATACAGTGTCATTGTTACTTAAATCAGTTTATGAGAACATGTCCTTTCATGAACTGTGTTGTAGTTATGCTGAAACAAAGTGTAGAAGGCAGAGGTGTTACCAACGGCTTTATGCCCACTGGTAAGTAGTTGAAGAAGTGAGCTTGATAGTGTGTATGTTTGTGTATATATATGCAGATTAATCACTGGTGTGAGAGTGGAGTGTATCTCCTGGCATCTCAAGCGGTGGATAAGTGCCAGTCTCAGGAGGGTGCAGAGGCAGCACTGCAGGACATTGAGAGGTACATGGAGACTGCTAAGGAGCAGCAGCTAAGTCAACTCAGAGACCTCTACAACCAACATGAGATCATCCTCTCTGATCTCATAAAGGTGTGTGGCCTTTCTTAGATCTATAAATGGGTGTGTTGAAACCACTTGTTTTGTATTATAATAAACACATGTCCCTGACTTGAAAAACACTACTAATCTCTAAAGATATCTCAAGTTCTATTACCACTCTTGGTGTTACAGAAACTGCTAAATTATCAGTCAGCAGCTGTTAAAATTTATTACAGCAGTACAGGATTTAATGGTAAATTTGAGTGGAAACACAAAACACCAACCCCAAATGACATATACTTGATAGTTAACCCTATGGAGACTGTTTGTAATGATAGAAATAGTAATAAATTTCTTGTTAACTGAAGAACAGTTGACTCAAATTTGGTGGAGTTATTTCTTAGCGGTTAGAACTTTTCTGCTACAAGATATACACACTTGAGTAAAACATTTACAAAGTTTAACCTCTCAAAAATCCCAGTCTTATTACATACTAGGCCTTGTTATTTGGTAAACACAGCGACTTCAGTGCAAACTGGTTGAGCTATTCTTAGATTATAGAAGTGTGTAATAAAACTTTGGGCCCACCAGTGGGCTCTGGCCATTTAAAGTAGGGTTTCTCAACCTGTGGACCACAGCCTACTAGAGGGTACTTCACAGGCCTGAAGTCTGGGGAGGTAGCAGTTCATGGTGGGTAGGTAATTCATAAGTCATAGAAGCATAAGATTAACCTAATAATTTAAAGAAGAAAAAAAGATTAACCTAATAATTTAAAATATAAGAAGCAAATTATAACCGATATAAATAGTAATACAGACGTACAAATAAAAATGCCGCAGTAACAGGCTAATTTCACAGCATCAGTTTGAGACGACGCAGCCACGCGCACACAATGCAGACAGAGCGAGCCAGAGTTGCAGAGGTTTCTCACGGTGCTTTCACACCTTCCTTGATTGGTGTGAACTTATCACACCTTTTTCTTTTGTTCGCTCCTCTCTGCTGTGTGTGAATGTGTACTTTTTTGCCGAGCATCAGCCAACTGACTGTTGGTACTCAAACTGATAAACCACAAAGAAGTAGTTTGTCAAATGACAAAGCAGATAAAAGATACCAAATGATTCCTCTTTTGAGGAAAGCCAGTGGAGTATTTTCAGTGAAAATATGATGGACTGCAGCTTTTTGTTCTTTTTTTCCTTTTCTTTTTCCCCCTTTTTAATGTCACCACAGCCATATGTTTTTTAACCTGTGATGTTATGTTTTTTAACGTAACTGCAAATTTTGCAAATCTACTGAGAACCCCTTATTTAAGGGATTTATAAGAAAGCAAAAAAAGATTAATGCAAGATATATGTGTATGGAGAAAGACAACAGCATACAAAGTAAATTAATCAGAAATGAAACAATATGGCAGCCGGACTGAGTTCAAAATGGGATCAGCTGATAGGTTAGGGGAAAATTTCTGACTCCAAAGTTGGTGACTGTAAATCAGGAAGACCTTTAGTTCGCAACTTCAAAGAAAATGTGAAGTTCTGTTTTTTTTTTTTTTATGGGGTGTAGACATGGGAAATCCTATGAAATTCTCACATCAGTTTTGCTAATGCAAAGTTGTCTCTTGAAAATGGGGCTTCTTTCTCATTGAAGACTGTGTCTCCATCTAACTTCTGGGTTGTGACCCTTAGAAAGTCAGAGAAAGATGTCACACTCTCTGTCCTTCAGTGATACCTTTTTGTAGTGACTTGGTGCATTAATACAGAATTCAGTGGTGAGTCATTGGTGTGTATGTATCGAGTATTTTACAATAGCTTTGAGGGTGACTAAGAAAGTCAGGTTTCAGGACTGGAACTATCTGTTTCATAAAAAAGCAATAGTATGTATATTACCGTGATTTTTGTCTTTTTCAGATACAGCTCTAGTTAAACAGCATATTGGAAACATCACAGAGAGAGTGCAGATAAACATCAAGCTCGGGCTAATTTTGTAGATTTAATGGTATAGCTATAACCGGATAAAACATTCAACAGCATTCAGTAGATTTATCTTGTTTGGAATTAGCTTAACTAACTTTTCAGAAATGCATGAAAGGCACCAGAATGTCTCTGCTGCACCATTTAAGGTGGAACGGAAAATTCAAAGAAAAAGCTGGTAAATAAGAAGCAAATCTTAGCTTTGTGGCGAGATATACATCGATATTGGCACCACTGATTAACAAACCTAACATTTTACTTTTCAAAATGCACGTTTTCCAGCTAAAAGGTACAAGGTGAAGTAACTTAGAAAGCTTCTGCATTCAGCATTGATATGTACTAATGTATAAATTCAATGCTTAAACAAAATCAAAAAGTTCATAAATTGACTGCAATATCTTATGATATCTTGTATGATTTTGCTGCTCGCTCTTATAAGTCAGACAGCATTCAGCTTCCCAGTATGTGCAGTATCACTTCTTCTGAGAACATAGTTTCTGACTGTAACTTGCAGCAGCCACAGGCAATGCTGCACCAATACCATACTTGGGCAGCAGTTTGGCTTAACACTTGTTTGAAACTGCAGTGATCAGCTACGTAGTGAAGTTGTGTTGATTTTTATAGTTCAGAGTAACCACATCACCAAGTGTGCATGCAAATGAAGGGTGTGTTGTGCACATTGAGATATGTGTTCTTAGTGACGTTAGCATCATAGCTCCAGTTTGAGTTTGAGTCTTCCTACCGTTGTGGTGGCAAATAGTGTCCCACAAAAACAGAAAGGTCTTTTTGTATTACTCCTTGTATGGATATCTCAAAAGTAAGATGAATTAATTCTGGGTCCACGGTGTTTCTGTGTTTTATGTTTCTGATCATTTTGACTAAAACACTGACCACTTCATATGTTTCAAAAAGATTGTGTTAGTGGTGTTGCTCATGAAACACTAAGTGATTGAAAACAAAATTGATATAAAATAATGACATAAGTGCAGTATTTGTAATTTTCTGTGCACAGTGCGACTTTGAAACTAAAGTGGCAATGGACTACATTTAGCTTTACTGATGTTGTTCAAAATAACAGACCATGTTTTATACTTGAAATACATACTAACATTTTTACCTTGTTTGCCATCACAGTGGTATGATAACCCAACTAAAGATTGACTAAGGACACCAAACATGTCTTGACTGATCAACTCACCGAAAGCATGAGTAAAATCTAAAAAAAATTCTCCATTTAAAATTAAACATTTTCTCAAAAGCGTGTCACAGGTATTGGCACCCCTGCTTTGTTAATATAACATCACTTTCTCTGTCTGCTTAAAGTATTGCTGTTTTTTCCAGTTCATTTAAACGGTTACATGTTAATTAATTATGTTGCATAATGTACATGTATAATCTTATATCCATTGCAATGAAATGTTAACAGTCACTTTTATTATTATTAGTTGCCAAAGTTATTAGTTGCTTACTGACATACGTTTTGAGCATGTTCATTTGCACATTTTAGTACCATCTTCTTGTGTTGGTAGAACCTACTGTATTTCATAAGCATAGAAGTCATAAGCATAAACATAATGCAAGCAGAAACTTTTTGAACAGTTCCATTGCATTGATACTGCTTGAATCACTCTTAGCTTATCATTCTTAGTTTTTTTTTTTACCCTTTTTTGGCCATCATTGTAGTCTAAATTAATTGTAATCTGCCTGTGTAGACCAATGTGGAGAATGCTTTGAAAAGGCTGGAAGAAGTGCACGAGATGTTTGAGAAGAGACACATCAGTCTGAAAAGGCTGTCTGCTAAACAGACCAGACCAGTGCAACCTGTGGCCCCTCGCCCGGAATCTTCACCCAAGCGCCCTTCACCAAAAACCCCACGGCCCCCAGGTTCAAGTAAGTAACCGCGGAAACATTCCATGGAAACCCAACTTCTTTGTACTGCAACAGTCACAGAGAAATTGTCCGACCACAAACTGAAACTCGACACATATACATACCACTGCACCTGCTGCTGGCAACTACGTTTGTCAGAATAGACATGGTAGAATTTATAATACCACGTAAACATTTTTATATTAAATACATTCAGAGACCTGCCCTCCACCTGTCTGACTGTCATAATTGCTTTGTAGAGACTTTTTTGTTTCTTTGTTACCCTGCTGCATTGATTTAGTTTTTATTTTCAACAGAGCCCTATCTTATACTCGTTACTGTCTAATATGCACTGTATTTTTCTCCAGCACCAAATCGCAGAAGCTCAGAGAACAGTTCCATCAAGCAGCCCACTGATGCTGAATTAGCAAGAAAGAAAAACATCCGTAAAGCTAAAGGAGGCATCAAGGTAAACCAAAGACCTTGTCAGCTGAACACTGTCCTCATTTGAAACTATTCAAATCATTGTGTACTATGGGCTAACTCTCTTCCTCCCGTGACACTGCTTCTGTGTGTCCTGTCTAAGATTGAAGTTATGCATGAAGAAAGCCAAGGGGGTTCCAGCCACATTCTCGTGACCAGCGAGACAGAGGAGAGCCTGTCTAGCAGGAGGAGGTAAGTGTCAATCCGATGCTGTCCCAGCATTTATGAACATGTCACCAACAAACACTCTTGCCAGTCTAAGCACAACTCCCATCTACCTCACAGAGGTAATTTAATGTTTCAAATATTCTCAGTGCAAGTATAATAAAACCACACCCAACCATTTGAGGAGTTTGAAAGTAATTGGACAGTGACAGTTTTTGCTTGCTTTACACCAAGACATAGGATTTTAAATAAAACACTGACTATGGAGTGTATACCAAAAGGTATTTTTAGATTTCTTCAATGTTTTGAGATTTTTGCATAATTATGTATTATGTACTGTAATTGTCTATTTACAAACTTGAAGACTTTAAGATTTAATCACCACTTTTCAAATATTATTAATTACTAAAGTTACATTTATTATAACTTTATTTGTGATGCTCTACAGCTTTCTGTGTCTTCTACAGCTGTGTTCATCATTCTGGACACATTTATTTAATAAATTATGTATGATCCATTTCGTATTAATTGATTTACTGACAACTTCCTAGCTCTCTACTAATTATTTGAAAACTACAAAATTGCACAATATTTTGTTCATCTGAAACTAAATTGGTTTTTGTATTGTCGAAAACACTGATTCCAAACTTTGGAGCCTTTTGAAACTTTTGTCTTAACAAACCTCAATTTTTCTTTCTTTAATTTATTTATTTTTAAATATAATTTGAAAATGCTACCCATTCTATACCTTGTGAACATTTCATGACGAATGGGCCACTAGAAATGATCAACAATTACTTGGAATGAAATGCTGTTACATTTACTTCCATGAAAAGTTCTATTAAATGTTTTTTCTTCCACTCTAAAGTTACCATTATATATGTGAGGTAAAAACTATGTGTATGGTGTAGTATAGTATTAAAATTTTGTGTAAGATGTTAGTCAGAGAGTTATTATTGAGAGGAGTCCCATGACTATTTTGGTCGATCTCTGGATGTTAGTTTATTTAAACATAAGATCATGTTCATTTCTCCAGTTATTTTAGGTATCCTGAAATAGGGAGACTATGTATAAGAATGGCTCTAATTCCAATATGATTCACCCAATATAAATGCACATACCTAAAAAGCTTCATATGTTGATCTGTCCTTTCTTTGCTAGCCGAGTTTGCATGCTCTCAAATATCATTTACATATGGCATTTGCATGTGCATATTCTGTCTGTTTTTTATTTAAATCATTTTTGTTTTTCCTCCTCATCATTCTGAGAAAATCTACTGATGTTCATATGGAACTACTTAAAGGGGAGGATGTGGTCTGTAAGAACTGTGTTGGCACATGGCAGTGGCAGGAAGTGCCTGGTGTTATTCTGGGGCTGCATGTGAAAAAGAGGAGTTGGGGGAAGGGTAAGGGATGTGTGTGAGAACGAGAATCAGTCAGGTAATGTCTGCCACAGAGGAATGAAAGGCAAAGAACATTCATATTCAGTCAGCTTTAATCTCAATCGAAACAAAAATGGCATTTGAGTGCATTTGTTTTTGTTTTTTTAGAAAAAACCTCCAGTCAAAGTTCTGCTGGAGGTGACAGTGCATTAAATATTTCCTCACAAAATTAAATAGCTCTTATGAAACAAATTTAGCAGAGGATTGACTTTTATTTGGTTGGTCCACATTTCAGGCCTCTATGTCTCTGTAGAATGGTAAACAAATTTTTAAGTAAATGGCTTTGGCGTTTTCACTGGTCAAAAAAAGTCAAACGTCAAAAGAGCAAATGTTTAAATAAACAGTTAAATACTGCATTGACTTTTGTAGTCCTTTTCACTGAGCATCAAGAAAAGGCGGCTTTGCATGAATAGGTGTTAGAATAATAAGGCTTACAAAGGAGCATTATTTTCACAGCTGTGCAATATAGTTTCCCTAGAAATCCTGAGGATATACTGTTTACTTCTGGGGCAGTGGCCACCCTCCAGAGGTATCTGATATCGTCCTCATGTCCATGTGAGGTGATCATCTTTTCATAAATGCAAGGGTGGTAAGGGGCTTTTCCCTCGCCAGAGAAGTAAACATGTTCCTGAGGTGAAACTCCAACCGTGATGGCACACATGCCCATGAAAACGTCATCAATATGGAGAGAGGCATTGAGGGACAAGGAGGCCTGGTAAATTTTGGCAGCAACATCTCCAGACACCACATACCCTGCACCGGCCGTGTAGTCGGGATAGGAAGCCCACTGGTACATCTGAACAGGCACGTAGTACTTGCTGTCCTTTCGTCTAATTGGAGGGGCTCCCCTGTGGACGTGGCCCACCCAGAGCTCCTGGACATGCTGCTGGCTGAGGGACTGCAGGTAGCGCACCAGGTTGGGCATGTGGATGAAGATGTCATCATCGGCAGACATGAGAAAGCGTGCATGGGAGCATTTGGTGTGTGCCCAGCGGAACTGCAGCAACAGCTTCACAGTCAGGTTGTGGAAAGTGTCGGAAAATTCCTGCTGGACTACGTCCCCATGGACCTGATCTTCAGCGTAGAGGTTCTTCTGGAGCGCACTTCTCTTGTGCTGATCTGGGTGGATGCCCATGACGAAAACCACCTTCACCGTGACCCCCAGTTCCCTCTTAATGTAAGTCTGGTTCCCCCATGTTGAGCGGATGGCCTCTCTTCTCTCAAAGTTCTCTGGAGACGATTTGACGAACAGGAGGAGGAACACGTCGCTCTCCGCACATATATTGTCATGGTTAATGAGGTACGGAAAGCTACCGAAACTGTCGGCCACTTCTCGAGTCACACTGAAGCTTTTGTTGATGAAGTCATAGCTATTGATCAAGTAACGATAAGAGTAGGACTTCACATGGCTCACTACATGATGGTCTACTTGCTCCCAGCAGACCATAAGCACTGACATAATACAGCACATTGAGATCAACTGCAGAAACTGACATTTTTTGACCCTTCTAAAGTTCATAAACATTCTGCTACCTTAACAGTGTCTTTAACTGTCTTCCTCTCTCATTAAGTCCAGTAAGGTGAGCCCGATTTATTGCTGTCAGCCACGTTCAGAAGTCGACCTTGTTTGACTTCCATCATAGTTACATCAGTGCAAATGTGCTGGAGAAAGACGTATGTGTGGTCATTTTTCTCGTCAACGGCTTCCTTGCTACACAATGATATCAGTCCACATCTGTGTTTTGTGCTTCAGCATTGTTGCTCAAGTTGTCTGTACATCTGTGTGAGAGTCCAACTGCAAGAGAATTTTTTCCATAATTATTATGCAGCATAATCTGTTTCTAATACAGTATGTATATACATCATGTATATCACAGCATATATCATCATGTATATAACATTATAACGTCATGTATGCAACGATTAACTTCCAGACATAGATTGGTTTATCCACAAAACCCAGACAAATACAAATAAGCAGTGATTACTGATTCATGCACTTAACTGATGGCACCTCAGCATTCTCATTGTTCTTAAATTTTGTAGCGGTCAGTTACATTACAGATCATTTCCCCCAAAAGCACTGTATGCTAGTTATCACAGTACACAGTAATAATAGGTACATATAAGGCTTTTCTTGTTCTTGTGTGGGTGTCTCTTTTTCTTTCTTTTGTGCACGTTTATCAATAATAAATCACAATAAATACAGCATGATCTTTACAGCTGAATTAAAGAATTCTGTCTAGGACAGCAAAATTTCATCTGACCTTGGATAAGAAAACCAGCTGTTATCATCTGACCTGCAGTGTCAATATTTAGAGAATAAACAATTATTGCAAAGGTTATTAACTGGCTTGTGACAGTGGAAAAAAGCCTGTTGAAACAGAATGATGTTTACCAAGTTGAGCTTCTCATTGTGACCATGGTTGATGAGATCTGGTTGACATCATGTGTAAATTGGAAGGTGGATGAGATGGGGATGGAGGATGGAGGGAGGGGTCAAAAACCTAATTTAAAACCTTGTGGATGGGTATTCTTCAGTGCATGAAAGCAAACGCCAACCCAGCATTACATTAAACAATAGGGGGCTTTAAAGAACAGAGCACATGAAAAACGCTGAGGGCTGTGTAAAACATTCGTGATGACAAAAAAGATCATTACAGCAGCAAATCTACGTGAAGCCAAGCCATGTAACAATGAGGGCCCTTGAAAAGCATGCTTTGAATCGCCTTGTGTCAGTAGTTGCAGGGATCATCTGTCTATGACCCCAACACTGGCTGTTTTTTTTTTCCTACTGAGGTCTATCTGAACTAAATGGCCATCAAACTCTCATTTCACATTTTTGAAATGATGCCTCTACCCAGTACCTGGTGTAAAAGATATATGTCTTATGTTTTGTAATCATTCATATAAAGAAATCATTGGAACTTCAGAAGTAGTCTAGACAAATATATTTTGTTATTAAGTTTGTAACTGTTTTTTTTCCACAGTCTTTGACAGTGAAGCTTCATAGAACCGTCAAGTCTCAGAAAATATATACCTAAAAACAAACTGCCAGTTTAATATAATTATTGTTTTATTAGGAGTATTAGTTTTTTGTAATGTACTCTTGCAGACATCATTAGTAGCAGTAGTACAGCAAATACATCATCAAATATTAATTTGAAATATCAGTCAAATCTAAACATCTGATACAGTTATGATTAAAATCGAGCATTCCTTTTTGTAATAGAATTTAAAAGATTTTTAAGTCCGAAGCGGGATTCAACAAAACACTGTAGTGAAAAAAAAACATTACTAATTCTTTTCAAATAAACGTGCATGGTAGTACCTGTACTTGGAGAAACTCAAGTTTGATGCTCATATTTGATAACTTCACAGTTTGCACATTCATAACATACTATGCGTACCTTTTCAGTGACCCCGAGTTAAAAATATATACAGTACTATTTAAGGCACTTCAACTATTGCCATTGCACATACTATAGACCATACTATCCAATTACACATAGCACACAAACTTACGACAATCTTTTAAGTGTCTAGAACATTTTGAATTGCATAGGCACTTGGAATCTCCACGAAAATGTGGAGCTAGCCTGAAAAGCCAACTTAGCTGATTAAATTATAGCTGGACAAGAGTACTGTCAGCAAGTAGGCTATTGATAAGACCATGTGACTGAAGCAAAAAGTGTTTTTTATTTTGCATAGTCAAATATTCAAGTTGAAATCTACAAGAACAACCAACTTTACAGACAAGGCCCGCTCAAACTAATAACATCCATTTGTTAAAACATCCTGACTGACAACTTCAACAGGGCACTGTTTACATGTTGTTAGGGGTTTGGCCATATGACCTACCTCTGCCATGCTTAAAAGACTACTTGGAGAAAATGGCACAGCTGTTTATATGGATAAGGAAGTGGCTGTGCCATTGATGTTTCTGCTCAAACCTATATGTTCTCGCAAGAGTAAAAATAACATGCTTTCCAAGGCTTGACATATCTACGAAAAGACAGGTTTGTTCTCAGCTTAGAGTAGTTACATACTCAGTTTTGTTAAATGCCATGGAGTTCAATACAAAAACTCCCTTTTTTTTCTAAAAAGACACCCCCCCTTCTGAGTATAAATGGACTTACCAAATGTATCAGCCAACCGTCCTTTCTCTAGGATTTTTCTTCTTATAGAAAAGTTTTCTTCCAAGTTAGCATTTGAGGTGGATCTGTAGAAGCTTGCTGTAGGCTGACAGCTGTGTGCGGAGCACTGGTAAACATGTGACTGCTGTCTGCGCTGGAGCTGCTCTGTTTCTGGGAGGGACGGGAAAGGGTGGAGAGTTAAAATTGAGCCATGGCGGATGAGGCTGGGCTAAACTTCCTTGTAAAGGAGGAGGTTTGGTCCACTTCGGAATGCATGTCATCTGAATCACTTAAGCAACTACTGCTTCCACAGAATTCACTAAGGAGTGCATTACAGGAACTGCAGCGAAACCAGCTTTAAAAACTCATAATAAATAAATCTGAAATAAATGCAGGTTGCCTAATGACATTATAAAACAGATGGTTGGGATCACTGAGATAAAAGAAAAGACGGTGATTGCATTATGAACACAAAGAAACAAATATTTAACAAAATTCCACATGATGTTTTTATACATGTATAAATACATTTAGTTCTAAAAGTTGTTTTCAAGCATGTAATTGATTTCTTCCCAAAAGGTATTAGTATTGTTATTTTTTTTGTTATAGTTTTACTGATTATTTATACAGGGTTACAGTAAAATCACTGTTTACCAGGGTAATCCATATTCACATAGGGACAAGACAAGGCACATGAAGGAAGACAGAAAGAAAAAGGAAAAAAAAATACAACAAAAAAAAACCTTCACAAAGGACCCCACTCTCAAACGATTACATAATAGAGACAGTTTTTAGGGCATCTGTCCACAGTGCTCACTACCTAGTTTACATAACCTCAAAATGTACAGTTTTGATCTTTCACAAATATTCACAATTACTTTTAATTAGTTTTCTGTCTTACTACCACTACTACTACTATCGCCACGGGTGTTTTCCTGTCTCTTTATGGTGTAGCTGAACAGAGATTGTTGATGTTGGCTCAACGGTTAGAAAAACTAGTCCTACCTGTCATTCAGCTTTTCTGTTGACTCAGATTAGTTGGTAGTTTCGTCAAAAGCTGAAAGTAATGGGTGGCGCAGAATTGTCTGGGCTTGTGTATTTTGTTCAAGGAATGTGTTTACTCCTACCAGTGGAAGGAGTGCAGTGGTGTTGATATGAGGGTGGACGAGAAAAATCTCAAATCTGTTATTTGTGACCTCCTTTTTTAGCATGTTCTCTATATAGTGTCGCAAATACGATTCATAAGCAGTTTATACACATTTATAAACAGCTAAGGTGAAGACTTGGGGAGGATTTAGTGGTCATAGCTTTTCATCCTAGTACCATGGAGTGAAAGCAAACACAGAAGCAAACTAGACACATGATCTGTTGCTGAGGTTCTCAGGCAGAATCTCCTTTGTAGGGACACAGGCTCTCTTTCACCTTAACTGTTGCGGACACACATCTCTTCTAGTTTAAGCAACCGGGTGGAAAAGTAAAATTTAGTTGACCATCTAACGTGACTTTTGTGGATCTGACAGACTAATGATATAGCACATAAAAAACCAGGACCTTAGAACCATGCAATTTTTTTTTATATTATAATTTTGACAAATAAGGTTAATCGCAAAGATGTTTGGCCACTTAAACAAGGGACTTTTTGAAAAATGTTGAACTTGTAAAGCCCTTCAGATGAGTGGAAACAAGGAAACACAGGGTTATTGAGGCATAATACTGCTCTTACGCAGCTATACTATGTTGCGTATAGTGTCACCCTTGCAGAGAATTACTTTTTAACCTGCTAAATGTGAGTGAGTGTGTCTGTGACTGAGTTAGAAGTCAGGTCCTTGAGGTGTTTCATATATAAAAACATCTTCAAGATTATACCACAAGTCCAGTTGCCTTAAATTAATACAACTAGGCAGTTCAGTGACCTGGATGACTGAAAACCTTTTCAAACAGTTAATAAAGCTTTGTTTGACACATTCTTTTGTTTTCATAGATGTTTTTCTGTTCTCTTATGACATACTGCACTACTACCAGTGATATATGTTGCTAAATAATGTCCACATTTATCTGTCTTGAGCATTTTCCTCTCCTGTTTCTCTCTGCAGACACATTATGAATGAGCTGATTGAGACTGAGAGACTCTATGTTGAAGAGCTCCAAAGCATAATGGAGGTACAGTTGTCACTTTATTTCTTGTAAGCTGTGGTGACCATAGCTGTGTAATATCAAAGATCTCAGGTTTATTGTCCCAGGGGCTGACCCTGTACTGTGGAGATGTGCAACTCATTAAAATAGAAGCTGTGAAAACTATGCTTAAATAGGAAATAAATGAATTATTATTATTATTATTATTATTATTATTATTATTAGTAGTAGTAGTAGTAGTAGTAATAGTAAGCTACTGAAAATGATAAATAACAGCTTACATTTTGTAATGTGACAGAACCACTCAGATGCTTGCGGATAAAAAAGGCAAAAAAGGCTTTACTGTTGGAATCATCAACCAAAATCGTGGTCAGGAAACAGGCATAGGTCAAATCCAGTAAGGGCAGCAAGTAAAGACAGACAAACATAACAACAGGCAAAAGTATCCAAAAAAGGGGTCAGGCAAACAACAGGTGAGTCAAAATACAGAAGATCAGTCAAAACCAGAAAATACAACACAGGAAACAAACACTCAGTAGCTCAAGAAATAAGCAATACCTCGCACTGAACTATTCTAAAAGCCCAGGCTTTATGCTAAGGCTAATGAGAGGTCTACAGGTGTTACAGATTAGTATTCAGGAAGGAGAGATCTGTGATTGGAGCATGCTGGAGGGTCAGGAGTCATGTGATCTCCTAGAGGATTCTGGGAGTTGGAGTCCATGGAAACCTCTGAGCCAGAGGGATGCGTGACACATTTAAAACACGAAAAAATACATAAGTGATTTATAGTCTTTATTTCCTTTAGATTTTAGATTAGAGGTTCGTTTTCAAGCAAAAACAATTTCCATGTCATTTGTTTCACATTTCATTGGTTATATATTATATAATATTATGGTCATACGTATTTATTGCATATATGCTTTACATATCATTAATCGTATCAAGGAAAAAGAACGGAGTTGGAATTTATATCAAACTGCTTATCAATTACAACCACATTCTGGTATTGTTTTGGTTTGTTTGTTTCCTCATTCACTTAGGGGTATGCAGCAGCATTAGATAACTCGGAACTAACTCATTTAATCCCACTGGCGCTGGAAAACAAGAAGGATGTCCTCTTTGGCAACCTTGCTGAAATCTATGACTTTCACAACAAGTAAGGAATCTGTTTTATGGTTTACAAATGTGAAAATTGCAACAGACAGTTGTGTACATCTGACTTTCACATATATTGACAACATAAATTAAGTTTGGTTGGTATATATATGGCTAATAGCTAATTGCTTATAGTATCAAAAATGATATCATAAAATTACTACTCAGAATGGCTAGTATTTGGAAAGCAGTGATCAAATATCAAGGCGGATGCAGAAGTTGCTCTAAATGCATTAGATAACCATTTTATTGATTATTTAATAACATTTTGTGAATCCTCATGTTGTTTACCACAAGCAGTGATGTGAAAATCAGCAAGCAAACATGCTACAATGGACATATCAATAAGATATTTGCATGATTTGTAAGGTTAGACACATCTGAATGTATACAATTTAAGGATATTTTGATCTCAAGGTTTATGCTCACATGCTTGAAGTCTAAAAAAATACAAAAGGTGAACTGTATTTGCTAGTCTGCTCTATCATACCCAGATATGTGTGAGTAAAGGCTTATGTAGCAAGTGAAGTAGATTTTTTTTCATAGACCTTTATTAAGCTTTGTACTACATGAAAAGAATGAGAGATTGAAGATTTTGAATTGCTCAAGCCAGTCATGACAGTGGTGCTCTGGCATATTGTCTGCTTTGTAAGGGTTCGCTCCTCCTATGGCCGTTCTCCTCCAAGTGTGATTTAGCCTGCTTACATTTTGGCTTTTGAGCTGGATCGGATGTTTTTGATCCAGCTCTTAAGCATTTGCTTCTGCATAAAAAATGAGTTTTAAACCCTCTTGATCCACATCAAATGTGCTTGGTAGTAAGGGACGGGTACTACTCTGGCTTAACGTGATGCAGGTCATCTTGCTCAAATGAACTATATGAAATAGGTGACCAATTTCAGTGCACAGAAAGGAAACAAACAGAAAACAAACAGGTCGAGGGTAGTCCAAAAGTTGTTTCCATAATTCATCAGTCACATGCACAAAATGCCGGACATTACACCAACAGTCATTCTAAACAGTAGCCACAGCTTGTTCCTCTTTAAGAAAGCTGAAACGTTAACCTGTCACCACAGTTTTAATGTAAGCTTCCTCTTTACTATTATTTTTGCGCCAATGCCTTTGTCTATGCTCCATTGTCACGTTAGGCCAATAGAAACAGGTTATGGTGGTGTTTCAGAATTCATCAGTAATGTTGATAAAATGGAAAGGAGTTTAATGCAATATCAACTGAAAGTTTGCATCTCAGACATACAATCCTATCAAAGGAAACTGCTGGAGTATGATATCTATATTTATTTAGGCTGCGCAGTACAATGTAATCACCCTCTAATGTAAAACAAGTGTTATTAAATTTCTTTCACATTGCTTCCTTTTTTTCCATTGCCTTTTCGCAGGACATTTCTCAAAGAGCTAGAAAACTGTGTGGAGAAACCTGAGTTAGTGGGAACATGCTTCTTGAAAAGAGTGAGTAGTGACATAGTCCCCGACGAAAGCAAAAGCTCATACTACAGGCCATGCACTGACACTAGAGTCTGGGGTATTGCCTGGAATGGAAATGAAAGGCTGTCTCGATATGCTCCCCCACAGAAAGAAGAGTTGCAGATCTATGAGAAATACTGTCAAAATAAACCTCGGTCTGAAGCTCTTTGGAGGCAGTGTGGGGACAGCATGTTCTTTCAGGTGACATCTGAATTCCTATACTTTGGTTTCAGAGGGTTCATCGCTTCTCCTTTCTTTCATACATTTGGAAAAACCTTTGCTGGCATACTTCTTTAAAGAAAGTTGGAAGATTTGTTCTAAAGGCACAAATGCTCAAAGAGGAAGGTACCTCAAAGGACTTTGCACATGTAACAAACTTTTCCCCAGTGTATGTCTTTTTGATACAGGAGTGCCAAAAACGGTTGGACCATAAGCTCTCTTTAGATGCATACCTGCTAAAGCCTGTGCAGAGAATCACCAAGTACCAGCTAATGTTGAAGGCAAGGCTTTGAATTTTGGGGGAAATCCACATAGTTTTGGGGTGTGTTTTTTTGGATTTTGCATGTCTGAAGTTGATTTGTTGGTGCTTGTTAGGAGATGCTGAAATGCAGCAAGAACTCTGAGGGCACAGCAGAATTAGAGGAAGCTTTGGCCACTGTGCTGGACATCATAAAGTCAGTAAATGATTCAATGCACCAGATCGCCATCACTGGCTTTGAGGTATTTGCAAGCATCATTTATTTCTTTTAAAATGTATACTTTTAAAATGTATTCTTATATTTTGCCACATTTTATTGTTTCTTTATTATTATTATTATCATTATAACAAATGAGTAATGTTGGAAAGCAGACTTCAACATGTTGATGCAGAATGTAAATCACATGTAAATATATTTCATTTCAGAATATCACAGTCATGTTAATAAGTAGGACAGATATTTTATTATGATTTGAATTTGATGAGAAGTTTGAAATTGATGACAAAAAAATCAAATCAAATCAAAATCAAATGAAAAAAATAATTAAATTCATAATTTACTATGTATTTAATTACATAATTATGCATAATTACACTTGAATGGTATAGAGAAACAAAGGTAGTAATGACTTTTAAGGGTTATTGATGATCAAATGTAGTTATGCTTTGTTGCATAGTGACATTTGAATATGATGCGAAAATGAAAGCAATAGTGGCTTTTAAGGCTTCAAGATGAACGTTTTACTCTTGGCACAGGTTGTACATCTTTAGACAGTCCTTCTTTTCAGTGTATGCTCTAAACTCTTTAACACTGATACTATTTCTGCTACACCATTGTCACATGGCTCTCTTTAACCTTGACTAATTACTACTTAGTTCAGCAATGTCAGGTCCTGAAGAAAAATGGCGTAAAAGAATGTTATCTCTCTTCTCTCCATTTTTGTGTGTGTAGGGTAATCTGAATGACTTGGGTAAGCTGCTCATGCAAGGCTCTTTTAATGTGTGGACAGACCATAAGAAAGGCCATAATAAGGTGAAGGACTTGGCACGCTTCAAGCCCATGCAGAGACACCTCTTCCTGTACAACAAAATGATTTTGTTCTGTAAGAAGCGTGAGGAGACCTCAGATGGCCATGAAAAGTCCCCCTCCTACAGTTTCAAACACTCCCTGAAGGTACAGAAACCCTTGGAAGTGGGAAACTTTATGTGCGTTTGCTTTTTCTTTATACTTTTGTGGCTGTGCTGGCCAACTAGTCCTATTTTGATTGACCTAACTGAGCTAAAATCTAAGCTATATATCCAGTCCAAAGATTTTTTTCCCTTTTTTGTCAGTTTCTTACTTTTTATGTCTTTTACTGTATTTAGTCACCATATTTAGTTTGTGAATGACAAACTTGGTGGCTGAAGTAAATGGTCAAGGGGAAAGAAAAGTACTTGGTATTTGAAATATTTGGTCCATTTTAGGAAAAGAGATGGGCTGAGCATCTTTTTGAAACAACCAATTTTTGAAACAAACTTAAGCATCACGTTACGTTTTTAAACCTGGAAGCTGATGAAGCATTGTGTAGCTTTCACCTAAGAATTCATGGTAACTGTCACTGACAACAAGTATTCCTGGTGTTTTTTTTTGTTTTGTTTTTTTGTAGGAAAAACCTTTGATAGGTTTTGTGTGTATAATAATCATTGCATGTCTGGCACCACAAATACCTTTCATACCTCAGGGTAGTTCTCTACATCTTCGCAAACACTGAAGCATATTGGCTTTTAATTTAATATTTTACATTTTAATCATAGTGCTGATTTCAGAACCTATAAATGAACTTGAACACATTTGCTTATTGCTTGAGTTATTTTTGATGCACTCTGTGTCAGATGAGTGCTGTTGGCATCACGGAGAATGTGAAAGGAGACGTCAAAAAGTTTGAAATCTGGTACAATGGAAGAGAGGAGGTCTACATAATTCAGGTAAACACTCAAGTCCCAGTATTCATATTAGTCTCAGATATGATACTCATGTTTATTTTCTCATCCTCATTTCTGCAATTCTTGCAGCTGCTTTTGTGTCCTATAATGCATGCTTTCTCTTTTGAATAAATTCAAAAACATTGGTTTTGTTTACATTTTTTTGTTTTGTTAGAAAACTGCTGTACACAATAACATTTTTCATCATGCTCTTCCTGCTGCGCTAAATATTTTGCCTTTGCTGAACACTGGAGGGCAGTGTTGTCCCACTGTGAAGCAACTGCGGTGGCTCTCTCAGATTGCTGCAGTAGATATATGAGTTTGCTTTCTGTCTCAGGCTTCCTCCATGGATGTGAAGAACATGTGGGTGTCTGAGATCCGGAAAGTGTTGACAACCCAGTTGGAGGCATGCAGAGGTGCGTCTCTCTTGATGGGGTCTATCCTCCCAATGTCTTCCTTCCACATGTTGTAAACCAGCTCTATCACAATTTAGAAATACCTGACACACCTTCCATTTCATACACCCTCATGATTGTAAGAGGAAATCATGCATGACTGTGATTGTCATTACATTTCATCGATTATCTCCGCATTCCTTTCATATCTTTTTATCAGTTAGGTCAATCACGCTCTAGGATTCACCTTTCACCTAAATACAGTGGGCACAATAAACTAGGTCTAGTTCCTAGTTTCAGAGGCTAGTTTGCCTTTGACTGCATTTTGCCCATGTGTTCTGATGAAATTTGCATATGAGCCTAAGCACACAGTGCTTAGGCTCATATGCAAAGTTCATAGGTCTAGTTCCTAGTTTCAGAGGCTAGTTTGCCTTTGACTGCATTTTGCCCATGTGTTCTGATGAAATTTGCATATGAGCCTAAGCACTGTGTGCTTAGGTCTAGTTCCTAGTTTCAGAGGCTAGTTTGCCTTTGACTGCATTTTGCTCATGTGTTCTGATGAAATTTGCATATGAGCCTAAGCACACAGTGCTTAGGCTCATATGCAAAGTTCATAGGTCTAGTTCCTAGTTTCAGAGGCTAGTTTGCCTTTGACTGCATTTTGCCCATGTGTTCTGATGAAATTTGCATATGAGCCTAAGCACACAGTGCTTAGGCTCATATGCAAAGTTCATAGGTCTAGTTCCTAGTTTCAGAGGCTAGTTTGCCTTTGACTGCATTTTGCCCATGTGTTCTGATGAAATTTGCATATGAGCCTAAGCACACAGTGCTTAGGCTCATATGCAAAGTTCATAGGTCTAGTTCCTAGTTTCAGAGGCTAGTTAGCCTTTGACTGCATTTTGCCCATGTGTTCTGATGAAATTTGCATATGAGCCTAAGCACACAGATGCAAAGTTCATAGGAAATGGAAAAAATGCAAAATGTTCATAGGAAATGGAAAAAATGCAAAATGCGTTTCTCTACCTCATACCGCATTTGAGGGAGGATTGTGCAAAACATGGGAAAATTGCTCCAATAATTGATAGGGATATTGGAAATGTGGTTTGTATTTTTTAAGAGTTACTAAGTGTGTGGTGGGCCGTTTTGCCTGGAATTTTTTCTAGCGCCTAAAAATTAACACTAGTGTCTTAAAAGCATGTTCTTGGGGGACTTCGTTTAATAATGGCAGTAGTCAGGGCATCTAGACAAAGGCACAGGCCTCAAAGAATATTTACCAGACAGAATAACACTATCTCAGTTCTCTGGACAAGATGGACATAAGTGAGAAGGAGCAGTGCAAAATATGCCTTGTTGCAACTGCAGTATTCACTTGCAGTGTGTCTTATTGTTTCCCAAATTCTACTTTTGGAACCAAAATGGATTTATACCACTATAGAATGTTCTAGTGGAAACGAATATTATTTTTGCACCGCTATCTCTTCAACACTGGATGTCCATTTTCACTTTTGTCCTGAGCTCAATGATGGCCCCACCACTTCACTACACTTTTTAAACCACGCACCTCACAAACATAGCACGATTAGTTGGTGATAATGTGTATACTTTGCATGACTAGCTACAGCCTTAGTAAATTGAATGTTAATTTCAGATGCACTGCATCATACCATATTGTGGGGGACATTTTGCTTCTCACATACACATATCTGGCTCTGAAGAGTTTTTTCATATGACTAGAATACACAAAATGTTCACATTCACTGATGTCTATAATGTGAATACAAATCTAGACATTTTGCAGTGTATTCTCTTATAGTCTACTGCTTTGGTAAAGTGTTTTTAAACAGTTAAATCCAGAAATGTATACAGTACTCTTTAAACCTGTGGAAATGTATAACCTTTGGGCAACCTGTTTCTCCCTCACAGAGGCAAGCCAGCTCCATCAAAGGATCACAGAGAACATCTACCATGCTCCCATGAGGTATTCTGTGTGCGTGTGTGTGTGCCCACCCACGGCAGTGTTCCATTTCGCTGCTGTCGAATGGCTGTTTACTGCTGAATAGTCAGTCAATGGGCAGAACAGTGTGGCTCCTGCCCCTTAGTTGTGTGCATTGTGCTTTTCTTCAGCAGGAATGTGCGCAAAGTGGCCCTCAGGCAATCAGACTCCTCCAGCCCTGAGATGGGATACAGGCGCAGCGACACTGGCCCCAACATGAGGCAAAAGCGAGGTGAGACCCCCACCGCTGAAGGTCAGCTTGTACCACAGATTCACAGTAACAGCACAAGTTAACTCGGAATATAACAATAAACTGCTCAGCTTGAGTCTTTCGTAAGACAAGATTGCATTCAAATTTTAGCAGCGCAAGAGGGGCACTGAAAATGGTGCTTATGCTTAGTCTTGAGCAGCCTTTTCTCTGGTTATTTCTTGTGTATCTACTTTAAAACATTTAGCCCGTTTTCATACAGTGTTATACATTTTTATGCAAACACATAAATATGCAGCAAACTATTTTTCAAAAAATCTGCAAATGTTAATGAACAGTTACTTTACATTCGATTAATTTGAAAATAGAAAAAATAAAGTAGTAATTGTAGCATCAGTCAGTACTCATTAACACCTTTCTGTTCTTTTTTTAAAGGAACTGTGCATTAACATTTGCAGAAAATGTTATTTTTAAAATAGTTTACTGCAGAGATCGTGTTCATTTTTTTCACTTCAAAAATGCAAAAATATTTAATATGGTCAGAAGTGCCCAAATCATTTGCATACAGTTGTACAATCTGTAATGTTTTCAATGAACTTCTATACAGAGTGAATCAAAAGTAAATCAAAAGGAATCACACAATTATATGTAAGTCACTTAATGTTAGATTGATTTCATCCCTACCATTTTGTAATAGACAATTGATTTTCAAACAGTGGATCATGACTCACTGATGGCTTTGCAGTGTGGACATGAAGTGAGAGAGTCTCTTGAATGCTTGGTTTTTCTAAATTACAGAGGACCATATTGAGAAATTTTGATACTACAATTTACAAACAGTCGGTGGCACAATTTCTACATACATAAGTTCCGAGCACCACTGTTTGTTATGCCAAAAGCATTAGTGTTTAGAGTACAGTGCTAGCTAGCCTACAAAATTAGATGACAGAACAAATTTATTTACTTCCCTGCACCGAATATTTGATGGCCCTCAGGACAAATAGTAGTTCTAAAAATGGGTCCTGGCATGAAAAAGTTTAGGAACTGCTATGATGAGCCAGTGGGTTTATCTGCAGCGTATGTTACCCATTATTCTAATGCACAAATAATAATAATGTGATAAAGTGTCTTACAGATATTTGGATGGTTTCTGATTTTTGTCTGACCCTATATGACCTCCCATTGACCATTATTAACCACTACACTGTACTCTCAGAGATTTTGCAGTCACTTACAATTCAGGTCCCTCCTGAAAAAAACAGGCCAGAATGCCATGAATAGCTGCCTAAGGATAATTAGTGCTCATTCCCCACCATTAGTCCAACTCAGTTATGAGTGTGTGTATGAGTAGTAACAGAGTAGTAACAGACACATGGGGCTCACACTGTAGTGGTGTGACTGGAGAACAGGAACAGAGACAGAGGTGCAGGTGCACACTTGTGAGGTGGTTCGGGGGAAAAGGTTGATCTTTGATGGAGTTCAGTTGGAGCTGCAGCACTGAAGGACCACTGTGGCTAAGTGATTGTGACAGGTATGCCATCCCTCTGAGCATAGAAGGCCTCCTCACCAACCAAACATGGAGTGTCTGGTGCCACAGTGCTATCTGAGCCATGCTAATAAACCAGTAGAAAACAAGCTGTGGGACTGAAGCAGTTGGATTTGTTTGGTTCTCTATGCTGATTGGCATCTGCACTTCGTGCCTCAGAGTGCCAGAACAAGTTCCACTGAAATCTGCTGTCTGTTATTAAACACGAGCTTGAAAAGCGAAAGATTTAACAACAAGCGCGTTTATTTTCAGGCTTCTGTGTCACACTTTGTAGATTGAGATTTCTTTCCAGCGTTCGTGCAGATTCAGAGCTGTGTTGGTGTTGCTGTCTCAGCTACTTGTTATGGGAATTTATTGATATTAATTTGTGCTATTAGCAGCTGACTTGTAACAGAAATATTGTTCTACTAATGAGACTCAAAGATTTATTCTTCAGAATGTTAGAATTATCATGCTGTGCCTTGGTCTGCTTAATTGATGGTTTAGCTGTACATCTTATTTTGCCCCACAGTATCGCAATACAAATCTGATGTGATATTTACATATTTGTGATATGCTAATTATTGAAGTGTGATATATTGCAGTATATAACAACATATTGAATTATCATGCAAAAATATTCATAATTAAATAATAAAATATTTATACTTGTGCCTCCGTCTATCTGCACTATTTCTACCCCCGAAATATTGCAATATTATGCTTTGTCAATTTTTTCTATCACTCCTAGTCCTTGAGTCTGATAGCTCTGATATAGGCCTTTTTTCCAAAGGCATTGCAGTGTGTCCTTTCAGAATGCTTGCAAAGTTTCCAAAAAGAGAGCTAAAACCGATTTAACATCGCTGTGGGATTGACACCCCCGACTGGGGTGTTAGCAGATGTGTTGAGCGTGTTAAGAGAACCTGCAAGCCTGCGATTGTGCTGTTTCATTACAATTATGGCACTGATTATGTATGAAACGATATGGACATCTCGAGTAGTCCTCAAGGGCATGTAACGAAATTAGCTCACAGATCTAACCGTCCTTCACACCCTCTGGAAGACAGCTGACGTGACACTTTTGGAGTATTCTAAGCAGTTGCTACTGGCAGTTGTTTCTGAGATTAGGTAGTGTTTTGATGCTGGAGTTCTGAGAGTGTTTGGTCAGGGCATTCAGCATGGTCAATAGATTTAAAGAGCACTCCAGCTATGGTACTTCACTCTAAGTAAGTATTAAACCATAAGCCAACTTTCTATTGTTCTTTGGTACTATTAAAGTATAACCTTAGGAAGCATGATTTCTTAGTAGGGCTGAGCAAAATGATAAGGAGGTTATTATTTTTGTCGTAAATTACATCATAATACACTTTTCTGAGTAGGGAAAAATGGGGGAAAATGTCTCCATTAAGAACAGTGCCCGTTTACTGTAAATCTAAACAATATCTGTGCATAAGCAATTTATATCTATGATTCCACTTCATTTTAACCAGCTATGACAAAAGACCAATGAAAATAAAATCAAAACACTTTCAAAATACACATTTTAATTATATAATGATATTTTGTAAATTAATTTAGTGGTATTATTATTATTATTATTATTATTATTATTATTATCATTATTATTAGAAAGAGTAACGACAATTTAACGTTTAATTGGTAAGTGCAAATAACTAGTATTACACATAACAAAACAGAACTCTGCTGAGATGCAAAACAATTCATCTCCAGTAAGATGGCTAAATATGCTGCCTAATTCTTCATGTAATGCTAGAGATGAACAGCTTTGTGTCTTTAAAATGTAAATACATTTCTGGGAAAATATGCTAAAGGGGACATTTTGTCTTATGTCTGCAGCACCTCCTTACTCAAAAATTCTAAATTTACATGTTCACTGTAAGAGAAAAAATGTTGTTTTTTTCCTCTCAAAAACTACTCTTTTTGTAAACCCCTCAGTTCCCCAATCAGCCCCCCAAAAAACTTTTTTGTATACATGCATATATCACTGTTATCCATACATACATAAATTCAATACAGCAAAAGTTTTAAAAATGCCTAAAAATATTCCATATCTTAATGTTTTCAGTTTATTAGAGCATTCAACATTATAAAAGTACTCCATTTGAGACTGTGGAATGGCACAGTGGGGTTCTACCTGACCCATTCAGGCTGGTTTCTAGCAATGTAGAAACAAAAACTAAGCTCTGGCCTGAACTTACGGTTTTTCTTGATTTTAGAATTCTTGGTTTTTCAGGATATCAGTAACAGTGCTAGCTGATAGGAAGAGCAATTATACATTCCCAGTGTGCCTTTACTATAAAGCAAAAGTGTCTGTCTGACATGTAGGACTTCATGCATCATGCAAATGTTGAAATGACCTGCTTGACCCTGGTCTGCAGCAGTCTTGTTCACAACTCATACTATTAAGGCCTGTTTTCACCAGGGTGGTTCCATGCTTTGGCTCTCTGTCTCCTGTCTCTTCTTCTAACTGCTCACTTACCGGTGTGCTTTTCCCTCTGCCTTCCTTAGCTGATGCTGCTGCCAAGCTTAGTTCAGACCAATCCTCGGCTCTGGCTAGAAAGCGTTTCACCTTACAAGGCCTTTCCAATCGCAGGTCTCTGCCTTCAGGTAAAGCTCTGATGTCCTTGCCATGCTCATCATGTGCTCACCTACATTCAGTCTGTCCTTCAGAGTGCAGTCCTGAATCAAAGCGATTGCCCTTGTCTGTATTATGATAAATCATTGCCATCACCATTTGTGTCATTCATCTTGCTACGCGCTGATGTTTCTTTTCCCAGTATGAATGGCAACTAAATAGACTGCAGGAACCCAAGGTGCTCTCTGCCAGAACGGGAGAACTTTTATAAGACACTTAGACTCACAAAGGAATTCAAATTTTGTGCAAAATAGGCCAACCTCTGCATCTAGACAAAAGAAAACATGAAAGGTAAAATTTCCTGCACTCAAGCAAATGTCATAGTATAGTGTTTCAATGTGCCTCTGTCACACTCTTGACATTTAAAGGTGTATGAATATTTTTCAGCAGATGTTTTCTTTTTTTCATTCAGTGTTCACTTTTATTTTTTATTGGTTAGAGGGATGAATTGAGATCTTGAGTAATAGTTCTAAAAAGCTTTCTTTTTCTTATATCCTGCAACCTTTCAGAATGTTTCACTGGCTATAAAACAATCAAAATATTATAATAGCACTACTGATCTGCCTACGGCAACAGGCATTTCACTGGAATATGATGTTGCTTGACTGAAGCTCCTCCATCACCTCTACTTGGTAGTGTAACTGTGCACCTCATCTTGGAGTGTCCATGTCTGTGATTAGGGTAATCAGTGCTTGTGTGAGTTGTCCACATGAACGTGAAACTGCACTGATATTGCATGTATTGGCCTCCTGAGATGACTCCTGCTCAGAAACGTCAGGTGCCAATAAATTTCATCTTGTTATCATATCCGCCATTAATTTTTTTTTCCATGCAGGGAATGTGTGGCGGCAGCTCGCCTAAGTGTCCACAGTCTGTCATTATCACCCTCCTTTCCCTTTCTCTGCTCCATTCATCATGCATTTGTCAGTCCTCGAATCAAGCGCTCTGCCTGCTGCAGCTAGCTAAATCAAATGACTCAGGGAAAAATGAATAAAGTTGATGTTGCCTGTTGCAAGTGAAAAACCAACATCTGCCCATAGAGCCTAGCCCTGTAGAAGGCAGAAATCAATGTTCAGACATAAAGCATGAGTCCTTGTAATTTGTGCTCACCCCTTCCAGTCCTGCAGTTCAAAAGCTATTCTGTCTATTCCTGTGCTTTCTCTCTCTCTCTTATCTTCTTTCCACCTCCCTCTCCTAATATTTGCCTAATTACTAACCCTTCCCTTGCCTTTCACTCCAGAACCAGCACCTAAGGAGGCGGAAGTCACACGCCGCTTCTCTTTAGCCTCCTCCCTCAGTGCCTCCTCCACTACACGCACAAAAGGTACCTGATTGCCTGTAGTTACATCTGCCTTCACTCACTCGCCACCAACACACTTTTCAATGAGCTACACTGAACAGGTACAAATGAGCTGGTTAGACAGCCTTCCACTGAGGGCAAGGCAGCCATGGTAATGACTCAGGAAGGTAGAAAGAGAAGACGTTACTCAACATGCCTTCACACATTACAGCTCTTATGAAACTAATCAAATGCGTGAAATCAAATTTTATACCTTGCATGAAAGAAACCACCTTCCTCCCCCAGAAAAGGTGAGAAAATGGAATATTTAAAGGGAATCTCATCAGTAATAAACATTGACTCCTGATAAGCTGACATTTGAAAGGTTGAATGACATTCAGTGCCGCGTTCCTGGTGAACTTGTTGGAATGTAGATGAGAATATCAGTTTGCACCGAAGTTTTGTATTCTTCTATGAACTTTATGTCTGCTGTAACTCCATTATATTTTCAGAAAGATCTGTGCTTGTAGACCACTGCAAATGCGTTTGTCAAGACTTTCCTCATTATTTGAATACAAAAATGTTTTAATGTTAACAGTCCCCAGTTCATACAATCTGTATATGGAAACAACACTGCAAAAAGAGCCCATTTAAAACTGCTTTAAAATTTATTTTAACTGCTTTTGTTATTTTTCAAAAATAACTTTACATTTGTAGCCTATAGCAGTTTAGACTGCCCATTCACACTGAAGTTATAAAGAGTGTTTCAGCTCAGGCTGTTTTTTGAACAAGGCTCAACACAGATCAGCCAATCAAAACAGAGGTCATTCACATAAATTAGTCTAAAGGCACAATTACAAAACATCCTGTTTAATTCTTAGGGATCAATAAATGTTAGAAAATGGTTGTGTAAAAATGAATTATGATTGTTAATGGACTTAGGATATGGCCAGCTTAAATAAACAGTTTGAATTTTCATCACTTCACTCAGGTCCTCTTTCTACCAGTCTTAAAAGCAAGAGACACCAAATAAAGAGTGACCCTACACCATTTGGCTATGAAGGTATTACTTACACTAGCAAGAATGGTGCATGCTGAATGTCATGTCTGTATTTTAAGTTTCTAAATTATGTCATTTTGGGTCTGAAATTGTGGTGACTTGGTTTGATGTGCTGCTGTCTCAATATGCATGTTTCTGTGGGTGTTAGTGACGGACTGCCATTGCTGTTGTGACCTATTATGACAGTCATCTATGATTTCTGATATGTTTGTGTAATCCTGTTTGAATGTGCTCATGGGCTGTGGGTATTTATGTTTTTCAGTTTGGAAGGCTGTATTGGTGCTGGAGTTTGCTTTAGTATTATTATGTGGTGTTGTGGTTTCTGATAGTGGTGGCTACCAATATCCTGTTTGTTAAATAATTCTCTCAGATTCTTTGCGAGGTGCTCTTCGTGCTGACAGCAAAAATAAAGGTACAGCAAGTACCAAGCCCAGTGTGCCTAGGTCCTCCTCTCAACCAGGTAATTGACAGAAAAAGAGAAAGTGGTGTGCCAGATTTTTTATGTTTGCTCTTTTTTGTGGTAGAATCTCAGTTCTGCTCTTTTTCAGACTGCAAAACTGTCTAACTTAAAGACCTGCATAGTATAGATCTGCATAATAGGGGTGGGGAATATGATGATTATATCATTGTTACTGGGGTAAATTGTGTCAAAAGGTACTTTTCTGAGTATATTGTGGGTACTGTCAGTACTTCTAGAACACAGGACAATTGCATGTATCATAAAAAGACAAACAGTTAGTGCTAGACCTTTAGATTGAACCATACATCAAAACATCTCTATGATAATTACATTTTTACGTTTCTTGGCCATTCTAGATTAAACACAGATTTTTTTAAAATCTGTTGTACAGTGACTCCTTCAGTAATAAATATTGGCATAGAACTGCTGCTGTTTTCTATTTCTAGCCTCTAACTGAAACACATTGGTTAGGTTGCCATTCCTATTTACAGTCAGTGCGTATTTTGGTGTTCTAGAAGACGTTCTTTTCTCACATAATTTGTCCTGACCATTGGTTGATTCCATGGCTTGATTTCACTCCCTAATTATGTTAATATGTTGATCTATTCTGTAAGGGCTCATAAAAGTCCATCTCATAAAAGCCTAACCAGTGGGAGAGCTAGCTTGGCTGTATCTACCTAGACACCATAGAGAAAATCTGGATTGGATAATTGTACATTTAAGAATTTAACCATTTTGCTCCCAACCAAAACTTAACAATGAAACAGGAATAGTACTAACCTATGCAGTGTTTAAATAAAACAAGCATGATGATTCTGTTGAATAAAATGAACTTAAACTGTTAGAAACCATTTGGCCTAGAAGGCCCTGAGGGTTCCCCTCTCACAGGAAGCCTGTAATCAACAACCAGAGTACAGTAACTACATAAACTGCATAGTAACAAGTAGTTGACTGGATGTCAGCCTCTTTTGCTTCTATCTTTTTTGTTAATTTTTACAGGTTGTTTAATTTTTACTCCTTAAATAGTTTATATTTTCAAATGTTCAGTTGAAGAAACGCACTTGCATAATGCAACTACAGCTTTGCTGGTACATTTTGTTCATTCCAGTGTGTTTGCAAGAACCTCAGAAAAGCTAAACTATCACAAATGTGTTCAGTGTTTTTACCACATTGCCCACCCTTAATACAAAGCAGATCTTTTTAATTGCATTTAATTGTTCTGGACAAGCAAACAATTCTCTTTATCACCACTTTTCACTTTTTATGTTTTTCAAGGATGGACTCAACGCCGTTTACCTTCAATGGACACTGAAGACTTTGAAACCATCCCATCCAGCGCTGAGGAGCTATCAAATTCCTCTGATGGAGAAGAGGACAGCAATAACAAAAATGTACACTGGGTTCTGTGTCTTCCCTCCTGTAGTTTATCTGCACTTCCATCTTCCCTTGCTCCCTTTAATTCCTTCCAATCTCTTTAGAAGGACAGAGAGAGTGAGAGGGAGAGAGAGACCAAAAACAGCCCTTTAATGATATTTCGCTATCTCCGATGCTGGTTATCGAGGCTAAGGAGACTTGACATTTAATAGACCAAAAGAGAAAGAGATTATCCTGCTGTGGGCTCTCCCACAGTTTAAATACCCAGGAGTTTTTTTTTTATTTCTAATCTGCCTGATGGATGAGAGGAAAAGATCTGTTTAGGAACAGTGGCTCGATCAGAGCAACATAGCAGAGGGCTAGGAGATAACATCTGATATGTTCCACAGGAAGTCAAGGTCTCTGCCATAATTTACAGTCCCAACCACTAGAGGGTGCTGTTTAACAGTCAAAAACTAGTGTTTGTGAGCACTTTGTATTGTATTGAGTTTTTCACCTTTCATTACTGGGACTTTATTGGAACCCCAGCAAACCCCTTGTTTCTGTGAGGGCTGCTTTCAAAGCAAATAAGCCTGGAGGCAATTTTTTTCTTTTCATATCCCCTCATTTGCTCCTCCCTTACTGTCTTAAGTTGGTCAGACCTCTAGCACAACAGTTCTCAATCCAGTCCTCAAGGACCCACAGACGTCCAGTTTTTTGCTCTATATATTTATTGCAAATAGGGTTGGAGCAAAAATATGTCAAGGGATCCCTGAGGACTGGTGGGAGATCCACGGCTCTTGCAAACTCGTGCAGGGTTTGTAAATGACTTCCATACTGTCTCGCTTTGTTGCCTGCAGGGGGCGCCTGAGCGCTTTCAAGTGCAGCTGACGTACGAGGCACGTGAACCGCACGAGCTTTCGCTGGAGGCGGGAGATGTAGTACAGTTTGTAGAGGAGGCCAAAAATGGCCACTGGTGAGTAATGGACTATAGCTCCTCCTTCCCCGTCACTTATGTAACCACACATACACACATACATACTGTGTTGCCAGCCTCCAGCACCTTACACACACACAGTTGTGGGAAGTTCAATTCAAGCTACCAAACCAACTCTCTTTAATTGTCTGTTTCATTGAAGCAGATGCCCAATTCAACAGTTGATTCACAGGCAACTCATCTTTATTTTCATCTATCCCATGATTTGGTTCAGCAAGTGAGTCTGATGTCAGCTACTTCTACTCACTAACGGAGTCAGACTTGGATGCACAAACACATAACAAACAGAGGAAGCTAACCACAGTCAACAGCAGGGGTACTCAGATGTGTTTCTGGAGGGCTGTAGTCCAACACAGTTTGGTTATTTCTCTGTTTACACACACCCCATTCAATGCTTATACCAGGTTCAGCAGATGTGTTTGAGCAGAGAAATCACCAAACTGTGCTGGACTACAGCCTTCCAGGCCTGGATATAGAAAGATACTATAAGAAAATGTAAAGAGGCTGTTGTTAATATTGTAATGTTACAATTTGGTGTTTTATCTTATGATTTCATCATTTAAATTTTGAAATATTACATTTGTTATACACTTTTATTAAGCCTGTGACATGGACATAAACATTGCATAGATGCTACAAAAAGTTTAATTGATAAAGAATTCTATTTGAAACGAACTGATTCAAAAGAACAATTTGTGCTGGGCATGGCTAACACACATTGCATTCCCTGCCTCCCCTTCCCAACACACACACACAGCTATGTACAATAAAACTTTCCCACTTACCTTTTTCATGCTCAAAATCTACCATTGATGAATCTCTTATTAACCTTTATTCATTATTTGGAGGTAATGTTGTAAGAAGGAAAGCTTATTACAATGGCAGCTTTCTTTTAATGGCTAGTCCTGAATTAAAACTTAATTCACAGTAAGCTCAACGGAGGGCACATGAGCCGTATTAAAAATGTTTCTCGGATGAATGTGTGTATTACAATGGCAATGAAAACACGGGTCTAAAATGAATTATAGATCGCTACGTTCAATTCACCCATACACTGCAAAGAGTGGTTATCACTAGTGCTGGAAATCGCCTCCAGAATCCATTGCAACCGATGGATGAGGGTCTTTATAAGTTTCGCATGAGCTTTTTGCAGTGCATTTTGGGGTGACTAATACCCTATGAAATTAAAGTGGCACTAAGAAAATGCCTTGAATATGCTCATATTTCATCACTTCATGCATAATTCATTTTTAAAAGTATCTTCAATCATTTCGCATCTTTGGATTTTGCAGCGCTCAAGTGTCTGGCACCCCTCTCTCCGTTCGCCATCCCTCCCTCGCCCCTCTTCCCCCACCCCCCTCCGAAACTGTCATAAAAACTTATAAAGAATTCACCAGACTTTCATGGACCCCAGTCAACATACAGCACTTTGAAGTCCTTTATAACTTTAACCAAAGTTTATGTGCCTCAGTTCTCACATAGAGCAGCAGCGTTCTTCAGAGTTGGCACATTTCTCTCAGAAGTGCTCGCATCTGCCCATAGCGAGAATGTGTGTGTTATTCCCACGTTCACACTCACACGTAGACTACGTTTCTGCCCTCGTGTTGACAGCTTGTTCTTTTCCCAAAGTTGAGACTGGCAGTAGCATAATTCTGCTGTTGTATTTTCATGAGGCTAACGCTAATTAGCCAGACACCTCTGAGCTGTTTTCCCTTTAAGGGCCCATATCTTACATTTTTCTTGTATTTTTTTTTCTTATTTTTTTTTCCTGTGAGGTCCTCTTAAAACATTTGTGTTTTTTTTGTATCAAAAATGGTCATTGTTGTTTTTACATGACCATTTTCCAACCTCTCATTAGCCCTTAGAATTAAACAGGCTGTTAAGAGTGCTGTTGTGTCGTTAAGAATGCTATAACATATTCTGATTGGCTTATCTGTATTGTGCCTCATTTAAAAAGCACTCAGAACTGAAACTCTCCTTAGAACAATGATTGGGTGAGGCTAAACTGCTGAAAGCTGAATAGGGAGATATATGTACAATTACAGTTACAATTCAAAATGGGCTATCTTTGCAGCATAGTTTCCATATTTGACTGTACGCACTTGGTAGTGAATGGTATTTTTTGAAACTTTAACAATGCTTACATATTACTGTAAACTCCTTTATTTCGAAAACGTGAGGGAGATTCGTTTTTCCATGATATAGGCCCTATATGTCTTCAGTTTAGGAGTTAGAGGGTTCAGACAGGAAGTAAATTAGCCCTCCATCCATTTGTTAGTTTATGTGGATGGATGCTCACATGAACAAACAGACAGGAAAGCAAACTCATGAAAGAGGAAATAAATTCGTTTTTAGTTTAAGGGGAGTACGAGATGTCAGATGATGCATTTTCATCTTGTATAAGTTTTCCTGTAAAGGAATATCCCATCCTGACCCCCTGAAATGACCCCCCTCCCCTTCCCCCCAAGGGCCTTATTTTAGTGCTACCATTAAAGTGACCATTCTCTCTCGTGTTCTAGGCTAGTCAAGAACCTAATTACTCTGAAGACAGGGCTGGTCCCGCCCACTATCCTGCAGTCTACAGCAGGAGGAGTGGACATTTACAGTAACACTGGTATTCACTGGTAACCCATTCAGGGATGAGGAGGAGAGGGGCGGAAGTGACATTTAGATGATCCTGCCCTACTGACAAAACTCAAATTGTTCAAACTGATGCTGACTACAAAGTGTGCCAATTGTTAAACAAAACATCCCGCTGTCAGAACATTATGCTGAGTGTAATATGCCAATCTTTTAGGATGCACGGGCCAAGTGCTTTGACCCAAGATGTCACTTACACCCCCCTTTTCCTCAGACATGGCAATCAAAAGTGAACCCGCAAGGCATCAACTCAGATCAAAATGGATGGGGATGTGGGAATGGGTTGTGAGTGGAGAGTATGGCAGTGGAGCTGCTTTGCATACTATGCTTAGTTTTCTTTACTTTTCTTGGAAGGAGACCAAGTAGAGCATGATGTCATTTCTTCAGGCATGCACTTCATTCCATAATGCCTGGCCTTGCTGTGTTCACAGTCTTGCCCACCCAGTTTACTTGAAACACTGCTCTTGTCATAACAAGCCCTTTTTGCGGATATCAGGCTCCTAAAAGCTAAGGCTAAGCTGAAATTCTGGTCTTACAGTTGGAGCAGGGTATGCTGCTTTGATATGCTCAACATTAGGCTTCACGCTTTACCACTTTTGCTTACATTTTTGCACCTTAGCATTGTGGTTTTTTTCCATTAAGCAAATGCAAATCCTGGTAACATTTTCAAGCACTCCCTGATGGTTTGCTATTTTTGTTTGCCTTAAAGTCTTGAATATTATTTTGTTATGCTACCATTTTTACTTTGACGTAACTGACTGATGCTGTTGACTGCAGTGCTTGGTTTTCCTGTAACTGCCCACCTCACACCTGCCTATTGCTTGATATTCATACACAATGTCAAACACTCAGAACCAGCTTGATTTTTTTCCCCTCCTCTGCTTTCAGACATCTTCAGTGACCTGTGCACTGCGGCCCTTACGGACACAGAGGAGATGGAGGAGAGTGTTGGACTGCTACAGGCCCAGGAGAACAGACTTGCATGTTGAACATGTGCATGTGTCTTTTTTTTTGTTGTTGTTCTTGTTGCTGTCTTGCTACAGTGCCATGCATCCATGAAGCGTGCAGGATACTTCCCTGCTAAACCTCTGAGTTGGACAGAATCCTGTGAAGCGCTAGAGCAAGCCTCACCATTGTGGAAGAGCAGGGACCCTACATTGCTGCTATTCCTGGCCGCACTAACAAGAGAGTGCTTGAGCACTGAAAAGTATTGCCACCATTTTTTTTGCCTTCGGACTCTAGAGCAAAGACTCTGCTCCCATTACTGATGTGATGCGTCGGATGACACGGCAAATCACCTGTCATCGTTAGCTTTCATTAGGTTATCTGCTGTGCCTTAGCAGCAAAAACATTAATATCTTGAATTAAATGTTCAAAGAGGTTCATGGAAGACTTGAAAGCCATGCAGTATGTTTCTGAGGTGGCATGCCGTCAGTTCAGACACAGGCCTGATCATTTCATGAGGTTGAGATAAAGTGAGAGAGAAAGAAGAAAAAAAAAGAAGAGAGAAAGACTCTGTTTTGTCCTGCTGAAATTACTACTCAAAAAACACTGAAATGGAAAAAAATCGTAAGAATATTACGTTTTTGATTCTGTTGGTCAGAAACTCAGCACTTTTAGAATAAAATAACAGTATATTATGCGTATTATATAAAATTTGTATACTTTTTTTATATATGCTGACTTATTTGTTACGTAAACATTCAGTAAACATTCATTTCTGGTTGATTTTAAAGCTACATATAATCTTCCTAAATTACTTTTTAGGATCTCTCACAAATCTCAGTCCAGGATTAGCTTCTAAGCATTATTTTATCTTATCATATTTTATCACTGTAGCACAAATATTCCATCTGTACTGTAAGAACAGAAGAATTTTGTCATTGGATTTGGATCCAATACATTTTTCATGTTGGGTAAACACCTGGTCAAGACATAAAATCAAATGTAAAAGCAGCAGATAAATCAATAAGTGTACTGTATCAAACGCTGCCTTCATATTTTCATATTGTCTAGCAAGAACTGGAAACGCAATGACAGCTTGTCACTGAATGTATAATAGTCTCATGACACTAAATGTACCATGTAATAAGAATGAATGCTCCAATTATAACATTTACATTGAACATGAATTCAAAGAAAACCAATCTGAAGGTTGACTTTTAAACTAGAAGGACTTTTGTCCCTTTTGACCATATTTCGGTATTTTTTCTCAATCCTGTTCAATTGTTTATTGATGTAAATTCTTAGCACAAAAATGAAACGTGGAATGCAGAGCTTATTGCTGACAGCGTATCATTATGTGATGTTATTTATTAAGAAGACAAACTGATGCTTTGACTATTTCACATGGTCAGTGTCGGCAGAAAGACAAGTATGTATTACTGGTCTACATTTTTAAACATACAATTAAATACATGCACAGTAAAAGCCTGTGTTGATGACTTTTTCTTATTGGTGATCAATTATGTAGAAATGTGCAGAGGATTACAATTTTCTCGTTTAAGAATTAAACTAATGTTAGATCTAAACTGTAATGTATTCCTGCAGCCAGTTTTTATCTACTTTTATTCAATGAGAGGAAATAAAACTTAACTGCTTAAATGCAGATGCTCAGAAAACGCTGAAACACAGTGTAGTTGTTGTCTCAGAGCAATAAAGCCTTTATACATATGTTAACTTATTTTCTGTTCACAGTCATTAATTCATTCAGATATTCTTAATATAGAAAACATGTGCATGTTCTAAACTGATGGAAAACAAAGTAATGACCATTTACACAAGGTTTTATCCAGTGCTAAAAGGTCTTAGAATTGAATCTCTTTTATTAAGTCATTCTGTTAATAATTGACAAGTCATTCTTTGCTCTGAAAACTGTCAGTATAATATAATCTAATTTCATTTTTCTGCTAAACTGTTCAAAGTCATGACTAGAAAAAAAAGCATTTTTGTTGAGTGAATAAATGTAAATATAAGTTATTTTTGCCTTGATGAGGAGAATATAAAAGGATGTGAGGTATTAACACAGCAGGTGAGCTACACCTGATGTTTTAATACCTGGCAAAAACAGTGTCTACTTTTGTGACAAACAGTATTCTATTACACTCCATACTCCATTCCCTAAATGAATTCTGTACGCTCAGAAGTCCTCTGAAATCTCAGGAAGACCACTGTGACTTTGTGAGCTCTGTGGGATAGGCTTTTGCCACGCGACCATTTAGCCCATGTCAGACGGTCTGCCTGGGGGAGACTGCAAGGTGTGCTTTTCAGAGAATGACAGAAAGGAGAAGGGGCAAGGCAAGCTTCACTGGGCTTTGTTCTTCAGAGGGGGGCTTTCAAGCTCCAGAGGGCCTATGAGGAAAGGAGAGAAACGAGGAGAGTGCACAGGCACCACAAATGGCTGGATGTGCCACACATATAGAGTCAGAGGCTAAAAGAAAAAAAAAGAAAAAAGAGGTGAAAAAATCTCACCAGTGCTCGTCAGTGTGTCCTTCAGGCCGGGCACAGGTTTCTCCAGGCCCCTCTGAAGCCGGGCCCAGCAGCAGCCCCCAGCCACTGCCTGGGAAGAATTCATTATGAGCCTCTGCCTCTGGAGCCACCACGCTGGTGAGCTGGAGCAGAACAAAGACACAGGCTTTCGAAACAGCTCTCGCTTGAAGAAAAAAAAAAGGCCAGTCTTTTTTTTTCTTTGTTTAATGATAGGGGAGACAGGCGACGACTTAATTTTTCAGAGACCTGTCATGTGGTATATGTGTTTCCTTAATATTTAAGATGCACAGAGCAGTGAAATCTCACCAGAGGCTTAATAAATATTTATTCTATGAAGACACTGACTTCCCCGATTTACTTAGGCTACATTTACACAGCAGGTAAAAGTGGCCCAAATCAGATTTTCTCACCAAATCCGATTCTTTTGTTTGGCTGTTCACATTATCTTTTAAATGTGACCTGTATGCGACATTAGTCTGAACAGATCAGCTCCTAAACCGACCCGCATGCGCAAAAGAACAATGCTTCACGTGGCGGCTCGTCCAGAGATAAACAGTCATGACGGCCAGCGAACGCCTGTCGCTCCCGCAGCTTTCAGTTTCGTCTTCGCCAGCATCACAGGAGCGAGTATAAAGTTCCAGTGGTTGACAGCTGAGCTGGTCTCATGAACCAGAATGTGTTCGAGTTCGCCGTAAAAAGGGCTCGTTATTCGGCCGCGGCCACTTCTTTGGTTCGTGTCCTCGGATTCTTAAACTGTTCTCTGACGCTGCAGCCTCGGGCTCCTCCGGCCGCGTTCGGCCGTTTCGTTCTAAACCTCTTCGATCACGGAGCGGGTTGATGAGTCTCATCTAATGTTTTAGTACAGAAACATCAGACTAAACGTTTATGAGTCTCAGCAGCGCGAAATTATGACGAATGTCGAGTTGTACTGACGTAAAAGTCGCATGAATTCTGATCTGGCTGTTCAGACAGAGTCGCATTGCCGCAGATCGGATACGTATCAGATTTCAGTACCACATATGAAAGCGTCTCAAATCGGAATTGAAAATGTCAGATTCAGTGCGTTTTTTGCTGTTCACACAGCCACACAGGTGACACATCTGTGTCACATATTTGGAAAAAGATCGGATTTGGGCCACTTTTACCTGCTGTGTAAACGTAGTCTTAGTTCTTCTCCATAGTTTTAGGCCTCTCCTAAAAGCATTTTCACCTTGAATGGTGCTATAACTGAATGTGTGTCCAAGGTGTCTAGATAATTCTAGTTCTCTAGGTAGTCATTTAAAGTCAAAACATTTAGGACACTTTCCAAAAAAGTACTATTGTTATTATTATTTTGAAATTATAATGAATAGGCAATAGAAATACATAAGACAATTATCATTATTTAAATATTTTAACTATAAATTTAATTGAAATATAAAATTGGGTTCAACAGTAGATGTCCAAACTTTTTTCAAAGAGGGCCAGATCGTATCATGTCAAAATACCGAAGGGCCGAATTCATCCATCCATCCTTTATCTAAACCGCTTATCCCCGAAGGGCCGAATTATTATTCACAAAAGTATTCAAAATATTAGCACATACAATTGGAGCTTTCTGTGTGCTGCTGTGTTTCCTATCACTGCATAAAAGATGCACAAGTCTTCTTTTATTGATGGACTGGTCAGAGCAATTTGGATCAGTAAGTGCTTGGGACAAATAATTAAATTGTTTAAGATGATCAATAAAACATGTCTGATGTATTAAGTATATTCATATTCAAGCATTTACTTGTTAAGAAAATATAATTTGTTAGACAAACTAAACAAAAATGTATAAATTTCAGTTTTGTTAATGTTCTTTACATATCAAATAAATGTGGAAACTGCATTGAGAAACCATTTTATTAAATGAGAAGAAGAGCAGAATAAACAGCATAAATAGCCAAGTTTTTCTTCGACCTTAAACAGTTAATATTTACTGAACTACTGAATTTGCTCTGACAAGAAGCTGGTGCTGTGAGACTCAGGTAGTTTGCAGTTGCTTTAGTTTCTCTGCCCTCTCCTGAATATTTACTGTAATGTCTGAATATTTACTGTAATATTTACATGCCTGTCAATCAAATGCTGGATGGGATGTCAGGAGGGACTTTTAAGTGCAGGGCATGTTTTAAGAGGAAGTGAAGAAAAAGCTAGTGACATTTTAACACTCGCTAAACGGGCTGAGGATAATTTTGTCTAATGTGATTCCCTGTTGTTTCGTGTGGGAGTGATTCTTGATCAATCAGGAGATTGCCTTGTGATTTACAAGTGCCACTGTTAGTGACATCATGACCAGTTTTGGGCAGTGGCTCGCAAGACTGTCGGAGGAAGACTGCCCTGCACGTTTCAGTTCTTTCCCTGCTTTAACAGCCCAATTAAAAATAGTCAGTGGTTGTTAATGAGCTGTTGTTTTGTGTGGAAGTGATTCTTGACTGACTGGGAGAGCTTATGGCTATCAAAAGCACCAGTGTTAGTGACATTGTGACCGGAGGCTCGCAGAACTGTCAGGGAAACACTGCCCAGCACATTGCCTACCCTGCTTTAACATGTTATAATTAGTCAGTGTTTGTTAACGAACTGGATCTGGTTTTCCAAAATTCTCATCGAGTGCGTTTACATGCACTTAATAATCTGATCATAATCAGACTTCTGCAGTTATCTGATTATTCAACTGGTCATGTAAACAGCATACACTGATTTCTTAGATTTGAGTAAGTTCTAGAAATTCGATAAAGGAAGCTGGATTTTAGCTTCCTTTATCGTACATATGTACTCTTACTCTGATTTCTTTCGGATTTCTTAGTGTGCGCATATGTGACAACAGACCATGGTACTGGAAAAAAGCAAGCAGCGTTGCCGCAAGACAGCAACAAAACACATTTGGAGCAATGCTGAAACCAACATGTTTGACAAAATTTTCAGATAAAGTGACTCTGTGTTTTAAAAAAAAAAGCCTCGGCATGATGTTTGAGTTTTACAATACGCTTACGTCACGTCCTCTTCTGTGAGTTTATTGGTTGGTTGCAAAGCAGAAATCTGATTACTGCCTGATTCATGTAGAAAAAAGCAATAAGCTGTGAGAGGCCGTGCATTACTGTGATTTTTATCACGGTGAAGGGTGTTCTTGGGCACGGCACGAAGCAGACAAAATCTGATTTTCTGCAGTTAGCGGATTATTAAGTGCATGTAAACACATTAATTATCAAGATCATCTTAACAATACTGGTAGAGACTGTGATGTGTGCGCTACCATTAAAGAATAATCTTTGTGTCAAGATGCTTTCAGGAAACCCAGTCCCGCACTTAAAAGTCCCTTCCGATGTCCCACCCACTGCATTTGATAGACAGTGCTCACCGACAGTGGAAATGCAATTACAAACAGGGTTGTAAATACATTTCACAGGGAACCCATTATGCTCATTTTCTGGAACCAGATTGTAAACCAATGTGCTTTGCCATTGTGGTAGTGTATTTCCATGTAGAGAATGAGAGCAGATAAAAAGAGAAACACGGACTACAGAATGACAGTGCTGTGAAAAAGTATTTCCTCCCAATTTCTTCTAGTTTTGCATATTTGTCACACTTGAATATTTCGGATCATTAAACTATTTTTAATATTAGACAAAGATAACCCAAGTAATCACAAATGTTGTTTTTTTAAATGATGAGTTCATTTATTGAAGGGTAATGCTGTGAAAAAGTAATTGCCCCCTTAGCTTCTAAATTAACAAGTTAACCACATTTAATTGACTAGTGGGTTCAGTTTCACTAGCCACACCCAGGCATGACTACTGCCAGACCTGTTAAATCTTAACATCACTCAAATAGAACCTGTCTGCCAATGTGAAGCATGCTAGAACGTCTCAAAAAACAGCATATGATGCCATGTTGTAAAGAGATTCAAATATAGATGTATGATAAAGTCATTGAAATCTACCAGTCTGGAAATGTTACAAAGCCATTGCTAAGGCTCTACTCTAGTAAATCACAGTGAGAGCCATTACCCACAAATGAAGAAAACTTGTAATAGTGGTGAACCTTCCCAGGAGTGGCTTCACCAAGAGTGCATTGACAACTCAGTCAGGAGGTCATAGAAGAACCCAGACGAACATCTAAAGAACTGCAGGCCTCACTTGTCTCAGGTAAGGTCAATGCACACGACTCAACAATAAGAAAGAATCTAGGCAAAAATGGCATCCATGGTAGAGTTGTAAGGCAAAACCACTGCTGACCAAAAAGAACACAAAGGTCTGCCTCGCATTTCCCAAAAAACATCTAGATGGTCCCTAAGACTTTTGGCGTAATATCCTGTGGACTGATGAATCAAAGGTGGAACTTTTTGAAAGACATGAGTACCGTTACATCTGGCGTAAAGCTAACACTGCATTCCACCATAAGAACATTATACCAACAGTCAAACATCGTGGTGGTAGTGTGGTAAAATTTGAATAGGAAGCCAACTTCAGTCTTGTCAACTTTCTGAGGTCTCTCCACCATTGAAAAGCCCTTGCCTGATCTATAAACTTTGCTCTTCACATCTTTTCCTCTTTGGCTGTTTCTCGGTCATCTCTCCTTCATGACGACGCATGGAGTTCAGCATGTAGCCTCTCCACTTTCCCCTGTCTTGTGCACAAGCATGAACGCCCTCTGTCGCTGACTGGCTGCAACAGTGTTGTGTAACTTGTCCTGAACCACTTTTTGTTAGTTTCCCATTTACAGAGCCAATACTTTGTATGAACACGGGATTTTTTTTCTAGTTTGCACACAGAACGGACAGCTAGTGGAGCCTGAGGAGATACTGACAGAATTTGACAAAAAGTGTAATGGACTGAAATTGTATACTGTACCTTTAATTTTGGCAGAGCTGGAGTGTGACTATGGGGAAATGCAATTGCAAATGGGCGATTCATATTCCGTTTTAAATACATCAGAGCAATGCCATTAAAACAAAGAAAATAAAATGTCAAAAGACTTTGCTTTTCCATATAAACTTTTTCCAGCCATTGTACACTAAAATGCAAATGCAAATACAAATACACATTTTGCACTTGAATTTGAATTATGTCTTAATAATGCGCATAATAATAGCCCAACATCACTGCGAATGATGGCATGAGTCATGAATGCTATTCATACAGCTCACTAGCCACGTTTACATGCAGCCGACTAAAAGCTCAATCGGAATAGAATACGTCCATTTATACACTTCAATCAGAGTAGTCTAGTCCAATTGAGGCCGTTCGGAACACAATTTCTATCCGATTGAACGAGGTGGGTAATCCTGTAAATAATCCGTTAAATAGAAGAAAAATAACCATGTAAACGCCTGTATCCGATTACATTTCCAGTCAGAACGTGTAAGTACGTTCTGCGCATGTGCATCGCGTAATAGCAAAAGTTCATAACGTTCAACATGGCGGAGCAGAAATTGGTCTGCAGAGGAGACGAAGTTTATGCTCTGATCTTTAAAAGACGGCAACGAGACGGGCGGCCATCTTATGTGTCTCAGAACACGACGTCTTCCTCTCGGCCTTCTTTAATAAGTACATGTGAGGTACATTTTTCTGAGTCTGACATTTTTAAAGCAATTAAATACAGAAGCGCGCCAACTGAAAACTCATCTCACTGACTGGACCTCACGTGATGTTCGCTGTCATATTAACGTTTACTCTAAGTGGTACTCCACGCATGCGCGTGATTTTGGATCGGATTACTTGCAGTGCCCATGTAAACGAAGATTTTCCATCAGATTATTGAATAGAGTGAGCATATAAACACCTCAGTCTTAATCTGTAATCAGAATGTATTCAATCGGATTGGCAAAAATCTTTGCATGTAAACACAGCCCCTGTAACTGTTACTGACACACCATAAGCTGTAGCCTCTTAGTTGTTGGTTGGCTGACTTCGTGCCAGTGAAAGAAGTATATTTTACTGTTCATTTACAATTACCTTCCTACGTTTTATTCTGTCCTAGATTACTTCGTTTATACGAATGACCTGGTTGTGGATCTGTTGGAAACTTTCCTCTTCAACAACACTAGGATGACAAAGTATTTTCAACTTTTTGATTTAATGCCGCTCATGACATTAAATATCCTCAAGGTTATGCGTGATAGTTTGATTTGAACTAAAATTAGTATACATCGTGTTAATATGGTATAGCTATAGTTTTATCAAAGGGTGAAGAATACTGCTCTGTAGTTAGCCATTTCATTTGGGCACATTTACATCTGCCATTACCGAAAACTAATGTAGGCTACATTACTAATATTTATAGCGAATTGTTTCTCTTTTTCCTGGTACTGCAATAGTTACGAGATTGACACGCAATTTAAAATACGGAGTAATAATATTACGCATAGGCTCACATCAGGGAATAAAGGAATAAAAAAGAGAGATTCTTCTCATCCTCCGCTCTTTTCCATTTGAGCCACAACACTAACCGCACACAGTGCTGCATTGCTGTTTGAATTCAGCAGCCAATCCGGACTCGCGGTACACCACTTCCGCCAACCTCGCACTTCTCAGCCAATGAACGCGCGGCTCCTCGGTTTGCCTTGAGTTTTGAATTCACACAGTGACTTGGTCTGGCTGGACGTACAAAGCATCGAATATGGATTTAATGTTTAGGCTCGTTTCGTAGCGTGCTTTAGCTTCCGCGGTGCTATAGAACCCACCATTTAGTAACGGTGTCTTTAATTTCGTTTAAAAGTTTGTTGGTTGTTTGTTTATAAGTTAGGCGGCAGTAGAGAAAGAAGGCGGTGGCAGGAGTGTAGTCAGTGTGCTGCCGCTGCTGCTTCTACCTGGCCTGCTGGTCTGCTGGTCAACCAGCCAGCTGAACTGAAATAACGTTTTTCTAACTTCACCAAGGCTTTTGCAGTCCTCTACTTCCAGTAAAACTTTAGGTAAGAGTGTTCAATCTGTCTTAAAAAGTTTCTAAGTGTAATTGGAGCGGTATTGGTTAACGTTAAGTTCGCTCGCTAGGCATGTTTGCACTAACGTTAGTTTAAACTGTCTTTGATTCCCGTGTTTAGCTAAGCTGCCAAACAGCTGTCACTGTTTGGGTTGCAGTCGATTTCATTCGCCAAAAACGTCCTTTATTAAGACTGGTTTCCTTTTATAGCTAGGTAATATTTTACGGAAATGTCCTAGGTCAAAGGTTAGAGTTAGAATATAACACAGTTAACGTAATAGCTAATAGGCAGTTGCATTTCAGAGTAAGCATTAGCTATGTCGTTTATTGAGCAAGTTCATATTATGATAAAATTGAAAGCTTTATAAACGTTATTCGCCTTGTAACCTGTTTAACCATATATGTTAGGCACGTTTACGTCTGCAGTTACTGAGAAAAATAAATTGACTGTACTGCTAATTTAAGATGAATTATCCTACTGGATTTGAAGAATAGTTCCTCTCTCGTTCTTTAAATACACATCATAGAGAAAAGTTTTCAAACTGAACAGAAGTTAAGTCTTCTTCTCTGCTTGTAGGTCAGTGCTTGCAGTCTGTTGACTAGAGGGTACAAGACCTTTCTTTCTCATGGCCTCCACATTTTGATCTTTCTTTCTTTTGGACAGGATTGGGTCACAGCGCAATGGCTGACAGCAGCATAGTTACTTTGGGTATGGCCCGTAGCCTGCTAGTGGACTCATCTGTATACGACTCCAGAATGGCAGAGACCTCTAAGGAGCACACTTTCCTAGGGCTGGTCTCTTGTGACGCAGAGGGTAAGTGAGGTCTCCTCTGGCATCTGCAGGAGTAATATATCAAGTATGTCTTGTTTTGTGTTGACCAGGCTGCTGTCATTTCTCTTAAATTCAACATAGGAGCCCACATATATATTTTTTTCTTTCATATGACAGTACTAGTATTTCCTAAGAGACTTACCTCGCTTCTGTTCTTTAATACTTTCAGAAATCCTGCGCCAAGTGCAGACCAGGGTGGTCCTGGTAGGGGCAACGGGCAACAATATTGAACTTGTAAAGGCGCTAGAGGTAAAATGAAATTTGACTGCAACTTTCTCTTGTTGATAGGGCACATGGTCAATACATTTGACAGTGACGCAATACAAGAATATCCACAGTGATGCATTGTTTGCAATGTTGTTAGTATAATGGATCTGTGAGAATGTAACAGTCAGGACAAGTAATTTATTTAAAGATACTTTTCCACATCTGTGTTCTGACTGTGGAAAACGGACAGTGATTACTTTGCATTTTGCTGTTTTGTTTTACATTTTGGTGTTATGGTGAATGAAGAAGCTGTATTATAGTGCCTGCAGGGCTAATAGAAAAGAAAATAGCAAAAATCCTCTCCTCCTTTGCCATTAGAGGGTTTGTGACTGCTGGAGATTGTGCTGTTAGATCTGTGTACAGATTAGCGCAGACAGCGTTTCCTGTTTTCCTGTGGAAATGTTGTGACTCTGTCTAGATTTTCGGCTTATGTGATTTGTCTTAAAGTGTCAGCATAACATTGTTGCAATTAATAACCTTTTTCTGTTTACCCAGAGACAGAGAAGGTTAATGATGTTTTTCTTCCTGTGTCCAGTGAATATTATGTTTACATCACTTAAGTTAGTCGTATGTAATGAATAGCAGTGTGCAGAGCCAGTTAGCCAACAGCTGAGGGCAAATACATACACAGATTTTTGTTGTTAAACACAGTAGCCTCTAACAAACAGTTTGAGCTCACTACTAATGAAACTTTGTTGACTTGTTTTTATCTAAACAGCATAATAATTAATCTGAAGTAGTCATCTGAAATAGTAGTGTACTTCAGTATTATATGATCACTATTTAGCATCTGAACCCTATTCATCCTTATGGGTGTGGCTCTGCATTTCTAAATGGAATCCAGATGTGTTTACATATAAGTTAGTATTCATATTTTTATGGGTTATTTACATAGTATGCATAAAAATGGCTCTTTGTTTGATTTGTGGATTATTTCCAAAAAAACATAAAAAAGGTTCAATCAGACTCAGAATCACAGTCTCTACAGTGACCATCAGTCTAGTCTTTGGTTGAGCTGCTTCTTGCAATCTGTAGGCATAAGACTCTGCTTAGAATATTTCTTAAATGCAAGAGCACTTATGATTGAGCTCTGCAGTATGTTTTATATATGGAGTGTAAAGAATTAAATGGTGGGCTTTGAATTTCCTCTAATCAACTGTTTCAGTGTTTCATTTTGGATTATGGCAAAGGTTAAGAGGTTCTGGCTTGACTGTCTTCTAGCAAAGAGGGTCAGTCTGTGTTTTATTATTTTCTTTAAATTAAAGTCTGTTTTTTTGGCCAAGATAACCAGCATATCCATATTTTCCAGCTTGAAACTTTAACACTGAACATAAATTGCCAGACTGCCAGTTAGTTGTGGTGAAAATTAACGAAACACACAGGTGTTTGGCAGCTTTTGATTGGTCTGACTCCTCTACAAGTACTTCATAAGCTCTAATATTAAGTATAATTTTTCCTCTTAAAACTTGTTAAGGTAGTGTTGTTGATAATGTAGGCTGTAATTAACATAGCAGCTCTTGTGATTTCAAAATTGCTCTTTCAAATTGCAATTTTGATAGAAAAATGAGTGCTCTTTTAGCCCTAAGTCCAGAAAGCCTGCTCTTTTCGCCCTTGAGAGAGTATGAGTGGTCCGTCAGATGGACAGACGTTCTTAAATGATCTGTTCCTCCTGCCACTCTGCAGTACCGGCACATCCCCACACAGCTTAATCAGGGGCAGAATGTCTGCTGAGTGAATTGACAAAAAGTCCCTTGCTGCTTTGAACTTCATTAATTTTACAGAACTTTCCTCCCTGGACCATAGCTGACATTTGTTTGAAGTTCTCGCCTCCTGGGTTGTGAGGATATCAGGCCTTATGTATGGTGAATTTGTCAGCAGTGGGTTGCCAGGTTGATGTCAAATCCTTCATTTTTACAGGCAATCAGAATAATGGAAGTCCCAGTAGTAAAGATAAAGGAAGGGGACCCAGGCGAGTCGGGCGAGAAATTGATAAAATCTATAGTCAATATGGTACGTCTTGAAGACTGGGCACTTTGCATGCTTGAGTTTACGCTGCATGGGTAATATGAAGGGGACTGGTGTGTCACTAAAATTTTCTCTTTAACACAATGTGGTGAACTAAATAACCCTTTTCTAACGAAGTTTTCTAACATGATGCTGTATGTCTGTGTCAGTGTTGGCTAATCTGTTGGATAATGATTAATCCATGTTGGTGTTCCTTTAAGGAGTTGAGATTGTCTGGTGATTTGATTTAATTTTTTTCCTCACCTTTTTCCCCCTCAACATGCTAAGGTAGGATTTTTCAAAGAACGTTCAAATTCAGTACCACATATTACAGTATTAGTGAAATGTGCAATGCTTAAAACCTATTTTTTTAGGCGTGAGCTGCAGTGCAAGCCTGAGGAGAACTAGAGCTTCATTCTCCTCATGCCTGCCTGCATTTCATCATGCAGTGGGCCCTCTCTCAGTAAACAAGAGAGACCTGTGTCCTTGTGTGTCTTTCCCTCCTAAATCGTCCCTCGACAAGCAGCTCGGCTGCTTCACTGGAATGTGTCATTCTGTAATACCTCTGTGTCAGAACTCTTTAATATGTCCTCTGAAATATGCCTTGTTGGACTTCAGTTACAAATGATACACACGTTATTTCATGCCTGATATTCTGAAAAAATTGGGACTGCTTTATTGTACACCTTCTTGCTTTTAATATGTTTGAATACACTTAGATTGTTGATGGAAAAAGTTTGCTTGACTTCAGAGTTCACAGAACCTACGTAATTATTCTGGGGCTCAAAATAGTTTTGTGTGTTGTCAAGACATTTTTACAGCTGAACAGTTCCAATCAGAATATTTTGTGTATTATTGGTGGTAGAATTTTTGCTCCATGTTTTCCAACACCTTTTTTAACTGCCTGTCTTTACAAGTATCTTTTGACTTTTATTCTGTTTCCTTGTCCCATCAGGACATAAATGTCCCCTGTATAAAGACAGACAATGTCAGAGAGTTTGGGGACGGAGAGAATGCAGAGTTTGAGACAGTCTTTGTACTGAAGGACTTCCAGTCTCCAGACTACAGCTATTTATACAAGAATGACAACCGCATTTTAGGGCCTCCTGTGGTATTTCACTGTGCTGGGAAGGGAGAGGTAAGACTCTATTTACCCATACACAATCACTGAATCACACCGTTGAGTGACTTCTATGTTTGTCTAGAATTTTTTTTTTCTCCACAAGCAGTAAAATTGTTGTAATTCCAATATTGTCAAGGCACAATTTAACATACGCCTGCAGTCAGCGTAAGGTAACTGCAACGACAGAAAAGTTGCTCTTCGAATGGAAATTGATTCATAAGCGGCTTTTGATTGTTACTGCGAAGCCTGAGAAATGCATTACAGTTATCTCTGTGTAAGCAGCAGCACCTGCTCAGCTGCCTGTGATAGTTGTCAGTGCTGTGCACATGCGACTGGCCACGCAATTGTGGCTAGATAAATTCTGATATAGAGACAGGCACCTCACAACTTTAAGACGTAAGCAAGGGCAGTCTGCTGGCTCCTCCACCTTAAAGATAAAGCCAGGACATTGGCCTGAGCTGGAGAGTGAAATGGATGGCAAAAGTGTGTTCCCAAATAGGGATCTGAAGTAGGATGTAGGAATTATTGACTGATTATATTTATTTCTGTTTGTTTGTGTTTGTTTAAAGCTGCACTATGTAAGATTTTTTTTTTTTTTGTTATCTGAAAGAAGTAGCATTACTGAGACAAGATTTAAAAACATATCAGAGGTTTTGTCGAATTTTATGGGAGTTTTTCTGACAGTGTCGCAAATCTTTACATACTAACGTCACATGTACATGCTCAAAAAGAAGGTCGAGCTCAATATTTAGGTCTCAAACATAAAATCAACAGTATACTGATGAAAAATTGTTGAGAATCGTAGATGCATCCTCAGAAGACATGTCATTCGCCAAGGTTTGAAACTCCAAAGTTTCTCTTTGAATACTCTTTCAGGGTGATCACAATCATCAGATTCATACGCTCAGGGAAGGGGTCCAAAGCACAACGGACGTTAGAATTACACATTTCCACCAGAGAGGTCTCCAAATCTCACATAATGCAGCTTTAAAATGTGTTGTGTATAGACTTTGTTTCTTTCCCATAGTTGTGCTTATAATTATAAAATCTCTTGCTTACTTACTTGCTTCCTCCTTGTAGCCTTTGCCATTCTCGTCCCGTCCTCTCTACTCTACCACCATGCTGAATTTGTCGCTATGTTTCACTGGCTTCCGAAAGAAAGAAGAAGTGGTGAGTCCAGTCATCAGGCAGATATTTTTAATACCTGCTCTCACTGATGTGGCCTCACATGATTTGTGTGTTGTTCTTCAGGTAAACCTGGTCAACCTGGTGCATCATATGGGTGGCACCATCCGCAAGGACTTCAGTGCTAAAGTCACCCATCTCATTGCCCATTCCACTCACGGAGAGAAGTACAGGGTTTGTATTTCAACAGTCCATCATATGCACCTTGATTAGAAAAACAGGGATAAAACTGATGGATGTAAGAAGCAGCGATATTCTTGACTTTGGCTCCATTTGCTTTATTTTTAATCCCATATTCAGTTTATTGCTTTAAATATATCAGAAAATCAGTAGGTAATGCTGGGCAGGCTACAGGCTTATCCTATCAAACAGTTCATCCTAACGACTGTATTGAACTTTTAGCAGCCCAAAGGTGTGGCAGAAAAATTGTGTTTCTCGAGTGTGGGGATATGGGCTGATCAAATATCTCAGTGCGCTAGCACATAGCCCATAAGCCCCATTCTAAAGCCCATATAAAGAGGGGCTCTCTCCTCCAGGAGCGGCTTGGAGAACGACAGAGCCTTTCATTTTATTGATTTGCTTGAGGTTTTTTCCCCTCCCCATTCTTTCATCCTCTTTGCCTCTTAGAACCCAGAGTCCCCTCTGTGCTTGAGTGCACCGAAATGCATGTCAAAATATCGACCAAAAATGTGTGACCAAAATACTTATTTAAAATGTAATTTACCAATATTGCATTATTAACATATATATATAAAATAGAAATATACAAAATGCCAAAATACTAATTACAGAGAATTCATTTGCACTTTGCGCATATGTGTGATGCATCCCATTACCTGAGCAGTCAGTGCTGATCCTATATGCAAATTCTGCTTTTGGTGTTGCATTAATAAACTGCATTTTTAAATGGCTTTTGCTTTTTTCTCCCTTCTTGAGCATTGTTTCAAGAGGAAACACTGCAGGAACATTTGTGCAGTTCCAGTAATTGCGCTTTGTTTTAATGGAGGCAGTTGTCTGCATTTGTCTTGTAGCTCCAGATGTTCTGCAAATCCATCCTCCATAGCTGAGTAGTTTAGAGGGCTGTTTTGGAGAGTGTCTGATTAAGGGTGCACATATTTATCACTCTTCACAGGAAATATCTGCTGAATTAGGTTGAATCATGCATTAGGCGCATATGCATAATGCATCACGGCAGCGTCTGATTCGTAATCTGTCCTTCTTTAACTTTTTTCTTTCATTCTTCTTTTTGTTCTCTCTCTCTTTGATTCTCTAGTTGGCTGTTTGTATGGGTACACCCATCCTCACCCCTGACTGGATTCACAAGGCCTGGGAGCACAAGGATGACATGTGAGTGCATAGATTTGCCCCGTAGCAAAATAATAATGTATGAATTATGATATTTACTTGGCACATTTTAATGTTGAGACTTCAGTGATTTACATGAAGCCTGGATGGTATTGTTCTCCCCACTGTGAACAGGGTGCCTTATGCTCTCTGTTCCTAAGAAATTCATCAGAATCAGTCAAAAAAGTATGAATTTCGTGCTTTCCAAGAACATATGTTTATTATGACATATTTGCATTGTGGGGGCTAATGCAAACCTTCTGCTTGCAGCAATTTCCATGCAGGTGATGAAGAGTTCCGTACAGCCTTCAAAGTGCCTCCATTTCAGGACTGCGTTCTAAGCTTTCTTGGCTTTTCTGAGGAGGAAAAAAACAACATGGAGGAAAGGACACTGAAGCATGGTACAGAATCATCTCTGAAACTCTTTCAGCAACTGCCACTGAAGAATTACAAAGTGGTTTTGTAGCGCAGTATTTTGAGGCTTTTTTTCTCTTTACATTTATTTAAACTCCCTGTGCTTTGTGCTGAATGTTGGAGAGGTCTGAGTCCGGCCGAGTTTGATAAAAGGAGATTGAAAGGTCATGTTCTTCAGCTCTTCAGATAGAGCAGTGGGGCCTGTTTGTTGTTTTGCCATTACATAGAAGCGTTTTGCTGGGAGGTCCCTCTTTCAGAAATTACCTTTTGAAGTACTTTCTTTTTGGCCGTGACAAAAATCTCAAGGCATTGAGCACGCCCAAAGAAATGGGCTCGACTCAAATTATGATTTTTAAGGTCAATTTGCAAGCTTGTTGCGTGCTGCAGGTGGCAGATTTCTGGAGGTCGGAGATGAGAAGTGCACTCACCTGGTGGTGGAGGAGAACTCCATTAAAGAGCTTCCCTTTGTGCCATCTAAGAGACTATACGTTGTGAAACAGGAGGTGAGGACCTGCTCTCTGTTCTGGCAGTTTCTGTGTCCTGTTCTGCATAAGGGTGGATGAAAGCCAACAGCTTAAAGTTACTTGGACTGCTTAATATGACTATTAGGAATCCAGTGTAAAAGGCATTTGTGTATCTCATTGTATACATACAACTGGTTTGAATTATGCGAATCACTGCTCCCTGAACAGTATTAGGCCTGTTACTGTCAATTACATTAGCGATCAAGTAATCTATAAATTATTGTGCCATTTATCAGGTAATCAGAGTTTTTGAAAAAGCTTGGTCCAAAATATAACATACCTTCATTGGAAAAGATAAACAAGGAAACAAGTAAAATAAACAAGTAAATAAAACTGAAGACAACCCAAAAAGAAATAAGTTATTAATATCTACTGTTAACTTTATCTTTGTTTTAAGTGGTTTTGGGGAAGTATCCAGATGGATGCCCGAGCTGGGGAATCTATGTATTCCTATGAGAAGGTAACGAATATAGAAAGTTACGATAGACATAGCTTTTAAACATGACAGGATAATATTTACTCTTACTCTCAATTGTTCTTTTTTTCAGTCGGAGAGCCCTGCAATGAAGAAGGCTGTGTCCCTTCTTTCCCTTACCACGCCCACCAGTAATCGGAAGCGACGACGGCTGCGGGACACTCTGGCCCAGCTCACGAAAGAGACTGAGATTTCACCCTTCCCCCCACGCAAAAGGCCTTCAGCAGAGCACTCACTGTCCATGGGTTCCCTACTGGACATCTCTAACACTCCAGAGACCTGTAAGGCTCTGGCAGGTGAGTTAGAGAGAGACACACAGGGCAACCTATTATTATGTACTGTCAGGTTGCTCAGTACTTGACCTCCATGTTGAACTTTTGCAACCCCAGAGGTTCTTCAGCTCCAACATCTCTGTTGGAGTTAAACAGGACTGAATGGTAACGGGCAAGTCCTGTAGCGCAGGCTGAAAAAGACGTGTGTGTGTGTGTGTGTGTATACATGTGAAGGCAGGCAGAGCAGAGTGTGAGGTTGCACTGTTGTTGCAGAGCGTAGCACTGAGGGCAGGCATAGACAGCGAAGGCCAGTAAAGAGGAGGAGTGAGTGGGAGAGAAGGAATAGGACAAGCAGGGAATGGCCCTTCCACTGTACCAGCACTCCACAAAAGACCTCAGAGAAGGACATGCACTTCCAGTGCTCAGACAGGCCAGCTAAGCATGCCCAGCACACATACACAGAGCTCTCACTTGACGACTCCTCCCCAAAGTCAGGGAGTCTGTGCAGCCAGCAACCTCAGTCAGGCTCAGCAGGTGACGTCAGGCTGACCCAAGAACAGCAGAGAGTATATTTCAAGTGCTTATGCATATTTAATAGCTCTTTCAAGTAAAAAGAGGTTGAGAATCCATTAGATATTTGGTTTAGTAAGTTTCAATCCATGCAGTAGAAGTAGAAGTGAAAATCAGCTCTAGCTTATCTGTGGACCGCTTACTGCGCAATTCTTATAATAAACTGCAATCAGTAAAACCATGCGAATGGAATCTGAATATTCTATATTGAAGGAGGATGAAAAAGTGAGGGGAAATATGTGTGTGCTGTCAGAGATGATCTTGCTCACCTCTCTACATGCATTGATGCATTTCAGAGAACGCCAAGCCCTCCAAAAGCTCCACACCGGTCCTGCCCAAGCAGTCGGCAAGATGGCAGGTATCCAAGGAACTGTACCAGACAGAGAGCAACTATGTGGATATCCTGGCCACAGTTCTGCAGGTCTCTCTCCCACCCTTTCTCACTCAGTTCCTCACACACGCAGACACACACACACACAATGGCAATCCACAGTGCTTGCCTGCGGCCTTATCGGGCTGTACCAGTGCTCCAAACCAGTGAGGGAGAAAATGAATTAGATTTGTGTTACAGTGGAATGGTCAGCACAGCCCACTCAACATCCAAACACCTGTGCCCCATGGAACCTGCTTTCTCTCACAGATACACACTTACACACACTAACTCACACACGTAGTATCCAGAAATGATAGATGAGGTTCATAAAGATTGCTGCAATGTCAACATCATTAGAGCACACTGATCGTCCCTCTCAATTGTCACTATTGGTTGAAATATAACAAAGTCTGCCTGACTCTACAGGTGAAATGCTCAAGTTGATTATTAGTTTGATTGTTAAGCATCCGAAGAGGCTCTTGCCTGCCTGTAGGCTTTAATCATGAGCCTTTTGCACCTTTTTCAGCTCTTCAAACATCCGCTGGAGAAGGAGGGGCAGGTGGGAGGGCCCATCCTGGCTCAAGAGGAGATTAAGACCATCTTTGGCAGCATCCCAGATATTTATGAAGTCCATACCAGGATAAAGGTGGGCAGACAGCTGTTTGAACTTGTGATGGCGCAGGTAAGCCTGCTGACTCATCCAGAGTGGATATTAATGCTGATGAATGTCTTTGGACAGGCGGACCTGGAGGAGCTGGTGATGAACTGGTCGGAAGACAAGAGCGTTGGAGACATCATTTTGAAATATGTGAGTGTGACAGAGTTGTGATCTTCATGTGTTGTGATCTTCACAGTGGGTCTGTGCTGGCAGCAGCTTTGTGCCTTTGTAATACCCCCTCCCTTTCTCTCTCCCAGTCTGGAGAGCTGGTGAGAGCTTACCCACCATTTATCAACTTCTTTGAGATGAGCAAGGAGACGATTGTGAGGTGTGAGAAGCAGAAGCCGAGGTTTCATGCCTTCCTAAAGGTATAATTTGTTTTTCTCTGTGTCTGCAAGCTCAGAGAGTGCTCTAGACCCACTGCATCCCTCACTTGGTTTTTTTCCGGTATTCCTTTTAAAAATCCCGTCTAGATCAATCAGTCCAAACCTGAGTGCGGGCGACAGACATTGGTAGAGCTGCTGATTCGTCCTGTGCAGAGACTACCCAGTGTTGCTCTCCTGCTCAACGGTGAGACATGTGCGCACACACAGGCACATTCTGTCAGATATTCTTAAAATCTGTCCTCATAACATTTCTTTTTCATTTATTTGCTGCACTGTACTGTTTTAGATATTAAAAAGCATACCTCTGATGATAATCCTGATAAAGACACCCTGGAAAAGGCCATTGAGTCCCTCAAAGAGGTTATGACGTGAGTCGCTAAGTCTATTTCAGATCATTTTCTCATGGTGTACGTTCCATGTTCTTCCCTGATCAAGGGCCATGTCCTGAATCTTCTTTCTGCTCTCAATTCAGCCATATAAACGAAGACAAGAGAAAGACTGAGGGCCAGAAGCAGATCTTTGATGTGGTTTACGAAGTGGATGGCTGCCCTGTAAGTCGCTTGTGTGTTTACTCACCCGAGTTCTATGCATGGTGACGATCCGCTAATCTCTAAATCACAGTGCCGGCACGTCGTTCCTATCCTCCGTGCAGTCAAGCTTACATCCCTATTTATTTCACTTAATTAAACAGTGCACTCCTTTGTGCTCCTCTCTTTCTGTCAGGACTTGTAAAAGCTTTGCATCTTGTGTAGTCAACGTTATTATCTTGCTCTTTTCTTCTTTTAAATCCTGTACAGAATGTATTGATGTACATCCATCTTTTTTGGAATCCCCTGTTTTGGATCAATCAGAGAGATTGTGACTCATTAGAAAGAGGCTGTGAATAAGCAAGTCTCTTCTTGCCTCTTTGTTATTCATAATCAAATGCAATTGAGGAGAGCGATGAAGCAGCTAGTCTGGTATGCATGTTGTATATTTGTATTTTGCAGGCCAATCTGTTGTCGTCTCATCGGAGTCTGGTGCACAGAGTGGAAACTATTGCTCTGGGAGACAAGCCTTGTGACCGTGGCGAACATGTCACACTCTTTCTCTTCAACGACTGTCTGGAGGCAAGTTCACACTTGCACTCATTAAGAAATGTATCTTAATTTTGCCTCTGTCGAATAATTATACATTTTATAAAAAGTCACTTGATGATCGTATTTTGCTTCATGTGAATTACCTGACAAGGGAAATCTTGAACCTGTGCTTGTGGTTGTTATATGCAGTATAAAATGAAATGTGCATTACTCATCTGTTTGTTGTTTAATGAAGATATTCTATCAGCTGACAAGCATTGTCTTACACACGGTTATTCCTATTAACAAGTTTTAAATGTGCCATCTTTGTGAACATGCAGTACTATCAGAGACCACCATTCATTTATTTAATTTTCGGTCAGAATGGCCATTAAGTACAAGTTATTGATTTTACAGTAGAAAATTCTGAGCTGATTATATATAAGATAATCCACTTGCATAAATAAGGGAAAGGTTAAAGGAAAATAAGTGGGGGACAAAAACAGGAGTTTCCAAAATTGGGATTCAAGAAGGTATTAAACTATAAAGAAAACGGGACAAATGTGCGAGACCTGGTAGACTACCAAAACTGTTACCTTTGGGTGAACGTAATTAAAATGTTCATCTTTGAGAGAAAACCAAGCTTCACTATTGCTTCAGATGTGAAAAAATCCATCTTTCTGCTGTGAGAACACAACTCAGCAGTGAGTCTAAAAGTGTATGTAGCTGTCAAGAAGCAGTTACTGGGAATGGGAAATGAACAAAGAAAAATAGAAAATTTTCAAATCAAAGAAAGAAGTAGCTGGTGTTCTGAGAACAATGGACTGACTGAGCCCAGACCTCAACATAATTGAATGTGTTTGGACTTAAATGGATTGAAGCTGAAAATGCAACCAACTAACTGTACGTTCACATTTCTTGTGGGTGTGTTCAAGGCCGCTCTTGTTGTCGTGATGGGCGTGTACACTGTGAAGCTGCTGACAAGAAAATGTAAAATATGTACTATATTTATTGCCGTTTTGTGTAAAACGTAAATGAACCACTGCTAGAAGTTTACGAGCTTATGAGTTTCTCTTCCATTTTTTGCGCGAGACGGCTGGGAATAGGTACGAAATGCTGGTACGAACAAAAGGTTCATAGAGCAGTCACTGGGGACCTTGGACCCCCATGTCTATGATCGGTCTGCGGATTTTGTTTGAAACAAACATTTTAGATTGTCGCTTGACGTTATATCACGGCTACAGATTAAGAGGTCTCTTAGGAAATGACTAGTCGCCTGTCACTACGTCACCTGCAAGTGTGAATGTATAGTGGAGGCATGGAACAATCTCCCTGCAGATTTCTTTAAAAAACTGAAAGCAAATCTCTTAAAACAAATGGAAGCTATAATAAATGCAGAGGGTGGACACACTAAATACTCAAAAAAATAATATATGCGTATGTGTTTTCATATTTTTTTTTTGCTAACGCTGAAAAATGAACTTCCTGGTGGTCTCTGACTTTTGCACAGTACTGTATGCATGTGTACAGACTTTCCTTTATGTTTAAGGACCTCCCCAAGACTGCACTGTTCGGTCAACACCATTTCCACCCCCTCTGCTTTTATCATCTCCCAATTGCACGCTGTGTCCAAAATGGTCCTCTAATCACTATACCCTACATGCATAATCTAGATAACTATATAAAAAACTGTTATAGGAAACATATAATTTGTGATGGTAGTAAATGATTTTGGACACTACGTCATACAGGTTTGCTATTTACTGTGCAACAGCAGATTCTGTCGAATAAACACTAAGTGCCATGTCACCAGTTCCCTATAAATACTGAGTTTAACTGCACACATGAGAAGAGCTTACTTACACTTGTTACAAGTATGAAGAGAGGTCTGTGGAGATGCTCTTATTGTAGCTGGGCTATCTTCCTCAGATAAGTTGTGTGTGAATCTTCAAACAAAACAACATGGTGTATTATGGGTATTCCTTATTCCCTAGGGTGTATCGGTTGAACACTACCGTCGTGGTGCATTGTGGGATTGTGTGAGTGCACTGGATCTTCTGTGGACACCAGTACAAAATGGCACTATGTAGTGAATAGGACAGTTTCGGATCCAGCTACAGACTTTAATGTTCCATAAGCACTTAACTCAGTTTATGGTAGGGAGGAGTGGGGGTAACAAAAAGAAGGAATAATTAATGCATGTGCAGTCCATGCTTGCTGACTCTGCTGCTCTCTGTTTCCTGATTAGTGTGGGGTCGTGTTTGATGGGGCGGGGGTTCGTGTGTGCTGTGGCTGTCCTGTTTGCCCAGCTTTAGGTCTGGCGTGTTAATGAGGGAGGGGAGAGCTGGGGCTCTATCTGCTCAATTATTCATCGATGAACTCCTCTGTATTCATATCTCTCGCTCTGCATCTTGCCGCGTCACTTATCAGGGCCCTGTGCCGTAGGATTAAAGGGCCCCTAATGAGCATGGGCATTTAGCTTTAGAACAGCATAGATCAATGATTCACACACTTGACAGCCTCCATGTACACCTACTGTATGATAAGCTGCATTAGGCATATGCAGGAAGTGATTTTATTTCTTGTGTGTGTGTGTGTGTGTGTGTGTGTTTTGTGTCTAGATTGCCAGGAAAAGGCATAAGGTGATCAGTACATTCAAGAGTCCAATGGGGCAGACGCGGCCGCCGGCCCAGCTCAAACACATCGCGCTCATGCCTCTGTCTCAGATCCGCAGGGTGCTGGATCTGCAAGACACTGAGGGTGAGATCAGAATCAACTGCTTTGGACCACCTGCCTCTAAACATATATCTGCAGTCTTATTCCCCCTACATGGTCTTCCACTCACACATTCCTGCTATGCCCCCTACCAACACACAGCTACTGAGCACCCAGAAACTACACCCTCGTCAAAAGTCTTGGAGGAGTACTCGCCGTTACCTTTTTAAAGCCTAGAAACATATACTGTTCTGCACTGTAATGACAGTTAGCTTTACTTTCCAACCTCAAACCTTCTCTTTCTGGGCTTCAGAGCTGCTGTCAGGTTAACTTGCATTTGCTGTGGAACTATTGGGATAGTAGCGTGCTTCTGTTGAATTGCCAACAAGTGAGTGCCACTCAGAAACACACAGGCAGAATCGGTGTGCTTTTGTACCGCTTAGCGACCAGAATATTTTTAGAGGACTGAATTGGTAGGAAAGAACAGTCTGAATGTCTCACTGTTTCATGTTCCACTTTTCCAACAAGCTGTCTGGCCAGTGAAAGACATTCAGAAAAATCTTACATTGTTCAGTTGTAATGGGTCTTTACAAATCAAAATGTGCACATTAACCAATAATATAAACAGTGACAAAATAAAGTGTACTCATTGTATTTGAGTTAGATAGTTCTGTTGAGCTGAATTAGAAGTTTCATCCAAAGAAATAACACACAGAAATGAATATTTAAAATATACCTTTTCATACAGGAAGTAGAGATGTGCGTGGGTACTCAAGTGTTTGCTTAGTCGTTCCACATACCAGTATTGAGATACTGAAATCACATTTGGGTATTTGTTATGCTGCATCACTGATGGTCAGGAAGAGAATATACAAGCCAACAATTCAGTGGAATGGTGTAATGGTTTAATCAGGATGTAAAATATGACAGTTCTGTATACTATAAACTTAGTGTATTGTACTTTGCTACTGTGGTACTTAATTGCCTTAACATGAGCATTTTGCCAAGGATGTATTGCTAAGGTTGTGATTGAAAAGGCAGAGGTAGTGCAACTGTAACTAGACCAACAATTCTAGAGTTAGCTAGAACCGAAAACAGTGAACAGTGTTCTCAGTGTTACTTCAAAAAACTAACATGTTGACACATTATTCACTGAGTAGAATAAAACCTAGGTAGTAGCTCACCAGTTATTATGTACTGCTGAGCTGGTTAGTTTTAGTGCTTTAGCTTATCCAAAGTGGCAGCCTCTATTACTCTAACCTTATCAACACAAAAACCAGCAGTGACCAGAAAATTTTGTATAATAAAGCAAATGTACACCTCAGTTTGCAGCTAAATGTTCTCTCTGTGCTACTGTTTTAACCTAGTACTAGTGCATCAATTTACCCTGTTTGTGTAAGAACTACAATATCTTACCAGCCAAAGCCCTTTTTGTCCCTGCGGTTAACCAAATATCTGTTCATTAACTCTTACAGGTACTGGAATATCAAAATTAGACAGAATGCAAAATCATCCCTAACAGAAAGTAACCTCTGTTTTCAAATGGTTTCAGTGAAAGCAGCTCTATCATTTTGGAATATGACGGAATATTTCAAATCCTTAGTCATTGTTGATTGTGTCATGCATGGTATGGGCAAACAGTTGGGAAATTGCGGCAACTCTGGGAAAAGTTTGGCTTCTGCATTTGGCTTCCCATTAACTAACCAACAGCAATCCACCTACATCAACTAGCCTAAAATGTCTCCTTACCTGTATTATCTAAACTTGAGTTTGTGTGTGTGTGTGTGTGTATGTTTGTTTGTGTGTGTTTGTGTGATCTTTTCTGGATGTATAGACTGTCAGAATGCCTTCGCCCTGGTCGTGCGTCCCCCAACAGAGCAAGAGAACCTCCTCTTCAGCTTTCAGCTCACTGCCGAAGACACTCTCAAATCAGCCTGGCTGAAGACTCTCTGCCGCCAAGTGGCCAACACAATCTGCAGGGCCGATGCGGTGAGTGCACGTGCTGGTTGGCCCTACCCCCAAATGACCCTCTCTGTAGCTTCCCTTGTCTAGAGGCTGACAAGGCCCCTAACGTAATTATTTATTTTATTAGGCCCCGCTTCGTTTTATTACAGCAACAAATTAGGTGGAGCGCATGGGCCTTTTTGGTGCTGGTTAATCCTATTAGATTGTCCAGCGTGGTTAAGCTGGAAGACAGATTAATGTAATTAGAAGTGGAATTGTGCTTGAACTTTGCACCTCGGAGGCAGATGGCTTTATCTACATGCTGCAGCGCCACAGGTCCCTCGTGCTGATGCCTGAGTGTAGGCTCAGACCTGCCAAACGGCATGTGTAATTGGCTCTAGTCAGACAGATGTATATATTTCCCTTTATAATTAAAGAACAGTTCCACTAAGCCCTGCAGGTGAATGTTGGTCTGGCTGACCTGCACAAACAGGGGCCTCCACTAGGTGGCAATGAATACCTCCTTTAAATCTCTCTCACACACACTGTCTTTTGACATGGCAGCAGAATTGCTGTATATTTTATTAAATATTGGGCATCTATTGAAAACAGGAAGACCTGATTCAGTGCACTGATCCCGACTCCCTTCAAGTCAGCACTAAGGATATGGACAGCACACTGAGTCGAGCCTCCAGGGCCATCAAAAAGACATCAAAAAAGGTAGGGTGGGAGTTGTGTGTGTTATTTTTTAATTTATTTATTTTTATTTTTTTTTTTGATTTTGTATTTTACAAGTAGCAAATTCAGTTGGTCAGTGGTACAAATCATGTACACAACAAAAACACATGGCCAAAAGAGCATGTTTGAAAGGGAATTCCACAGATTTTTGTTGTTTGTTTGATTGTTTGTTGTTCCTGTTGTTCTTATTGTTGTTTTTTATATATATTTTTTAAATGTGCCAAGGAGCATTGGTGCTCATGAATGAACAGGAGCACAGAAAAATCTGAACACAAACTTAAGATGAACTTGTTTTTTTACAAATGTATTTATTTTTTTATTTACTGCTATTTTACCATGATCAACATTTACATATAAAAGCTGAGAAGACACATGTAGACTCAGTGGAAATTTTGGATGGTAAATAAAATGACTATGTGCATAGTAGACTTTGTGACCCCTGGTTCCTATAACCAACATCGTAAAGAAATCTATCTTTTCTCTAGAGTGCACCATTTCACATCAAACCACTCTGAATGACTTTTGCATCTCAGTGACTGAATAAAGTGTACCAAAATAAAAAGAGCGTTTGACATGACTTCTACAGATTGGATACAGTAGTTAGTTTGTGTGTGTGTGTGTGTGTGTGTGTTCATTTACAGGTCACCAGAGCATTCTCATTCACTAAAACCCCCAAACGTGTGATCCAGAGAGCTTTCATGGCCAGCAGTACCCCAGATGACAAGAGCCCTGGCACAGGCCCTGATCACATGTCCCGAATGACTAGCAGCTCCACACTGGCTGTAAGTATCTCTTGCTCTTTTGGCTAATTAGGTGTATTTTAGGGCTACAACAAATATTTAATGATATTTGATCAATTTTTCTATATTGTCCAAGCTTGTAAGGATTACCTGAACAACATTTTGGAACTATCTTTTCCAGTCATTCAGTATTTAACGTGTTCCTTGAATGTCAGTGTTTCTGTTTTTCTTTTTTTTCTTCTTTTTCTAATACACACAATTAAAAGTATGTCTTTGTCTCAGATGTTCTTATACATTGCCATCTACAAATATTGGTGCCACTTGTAATCATGAGCGAAATGAGCTGTAAAGAAATTGAATTACTTATACTTTTTGATCTTTTATTCAATATATTAGCAAAAATCTAACCTTTATTTAAGGTTTAATGATTGGAAGAAAAAAACCTACATCTTGTCATTAAAAATATTTTTTTTAAATCGGTGTCCCACAATTATTGGCACCCTTAGAAATTCCCATAAGTGAATCTAACTGTATATTCCCACTAATAATTTTTATGATTAAGTTCACCTGAGTGATTAGGAACACTTAAATGGTTAGCCATGACTTCCCGATTCACTGGGAAATATGAGATGAAACACAGGCCAAATTCCTTCAGTCATCCATCGTCATGAGAAAGACCAGAGAAAACAGCAGTGATGTACAACAAAAGGTTGTTGAGCTGTTCAAATCAGAAAATAGTTACAAGTAAATAAGTAAACAATTCCATTTCCACTATCAAGGCAATAATTAAGAAGCTTAAAAGAACTGGAGTTGTTAAGAATGTGCTGGGAAGAGGACCTATGTCTGTATTGACCCCACACACAGTGAAGAGCATGGTTCGAGTGGACAAGGAATCTCCAAGGATTACAGACAGGGAGTTGCAAACATTAGTTAGTTCTTGGGGTCACAACTTCTTCCAAACTACAATCAAACACCACCTATGTAACCACAAGTTGTTTGGGAGAGCTGCTGGAAAAAAGCCTCTGTGGTCAAGGACCAACAAACTCTACGCTACTGGAACTTTCAATGGGACTGTGTTCCATGTTCAGATAAGACCAAAATAGAGATTTTCAGCAACAAACACCAGAGGTGAGTTTAGCGTGGACACTAAAAATAGTTATGTAGAAAAGTACCCCATCTCCACTGTGAAGTATGGTGGTGGATCTGTGATACCTGGGGCTGTTTATCTTCCAAAAACCTGACTGCGTCAGCCAGGAAGCTTAACCTGGGCCATAGTTTGGATCTTTCAGCAGGACAATGATCCCAAGCGCACCTCAAAATCAACACAAAGATGGTTCACTGACCCCAGAATTAGGGTTTTGCCATGGCCACTACAGTCCCATGATGTAAACCCCATAGAAAACCTGGGTGACGAGCTGGAAAGGAGAGCTCACAGTGTGAAGGATCTGGAGAGGTTCTGTATGGAGGAATGGTCTCAGGTCCTTTGCCATGTGTTTCCCAGTCACATTAAGCGTGGTAGGAGAAGACTCAGAGCTGTTATCTTTGCAAAAGGAGGCTGCACAAAGTATTACATGAAGGGGCGCCAGTCATTGTGGCACACACAGACTTGAAAAAAATTATTTCCCAGTACGATTTATTGTTGTATTGTATTTATTGTACCATTGTACTTCAAAAGAGGTTAGATTTTTGTTAATATTTTGAACATAAGATCTAAAGAATAAGCAGTAAAGTGTTTTTTTACAGACTGTTTTGCTAATGTTTACCAGGGGTGCCAATATTTATGGAGGGCAGTGTAAGTTTGGCCGTGTGGATAGCCGTTTCTTAACGTATCATCTTGAGTTTCACTTTTATTGAAATACTGTTAAATAATCTTTTGTTAAGTAGAATATAGATTAAGGCTCAATAACATAAAATGTAGTGATAGATAATACTGCTAATTTGGCTAATTTTGAAATGAAGAAAGCAGTCTACTACTGCATAAAGAGCCTTTTTGGAGCTGAAAGAGTTGGTTCTTATTGGTGAGCTTAGGTAATTGATTTGACTCACTGAAAAGAGCCAGAATGCCCATCACTAGTTGTGCGAGTGTGCCTGCTGCTTTTCACTGCATTTTTTAAATAGCCCTGATGCATAGCAGATATGCGTAATGAAGTGGTAATCTTCCTTTAAAAGGAAAGAAATGGCAGCATTTTACTCGCACTGTAGAATTGTGGTTTACCACTTTTATGAACTCTCACACCTTCGTGAGGAAACCAAAGTTTTGTGTGTCAAGCCAAATACTGGCTTATCAGTGCACAGCAGACTCATTGGAGTGATTTGGCACAGTTTGAGAGACTCGCAAATCAAGGCAGCAGTCCAAATAAGTTTCCTACTACTTGGTTGCTAGCTAGTTGACACGTTGTCTAAGAATAAAATAAAAGTATAGCTAGCTAGCTAGCTGTGGGAAAATTGTTCAGACTGCACTTGGCTTTAAAACTGATGTCACTGAGTTTAGCGCAAGCTCCAGTAGCAGTTCTGAGCATTTAAAAAATCTTGATCACTACTCCCCCATTCAATGATGAGTACACCAAATAGTTGTTTTCATGTTTAAGATAATGTTTCAAAAGAGTTATGATATTTTATCATGAATGAATAAATGAATGAATATATCATCCAGCATTACAAAAAGTCACAAGAATAATATAATACAGTATTATGTTATTATGAATTATATTTATAAATGATTATATAATAGTTATAAATAATTAGGTTATTATAAAATAAAATAATACTAATAAAAATGATAAACAATAGTAAGAAACAAATTTTACATTGTTATTAACGTGAAATGTCTTGAGGTTTTCTTATTTCTAGAATAAATTCAAGAAAATACTTCATAGAATGTTTGTAAAGTAAAATATGCATTAGTTGCAGCCCTAGTATATTTGTGATCAGTGATGTTTATTGGGTTATCATTTTAGTCAATTTATCACAAGTTGTGTTGCAGTTAAATGATTTGTTCGCAGCAGTAGTTTAAGATTTCACTGCATTTTTCATATATATATATAATACAAAACTATATATAATTGTCTTCATTTAGGACATTTTTTTATTTGAACTGCTACTATACAGTTATTACAGTATCTTTCCATTCTTATCTACTTCACTCGCTTATATTGAAGAGTTGTGGTGAAGGTTTAATGTGTGGGTACAATGGCTTCATCTAACTACCAAATGTGAAATTCACTGTGTTGGAATGATTTTTCAATCCTGTTGGAGTGGACGCACTCTTGCGTGGCCCAGCATCAGTTGAAGAGAGGGTGCTTATAGACTGCAAATGGTCTTGGCCAGACAACTGCAGTCCCAGATCAATTATGCAAACGTCCCCACTGCAACAGCACTGTCAGAAGTTTACCCTCAGTTAACCCCTTAAATCCTAACAGACCTGTATGTTAATTCCTCACTTTTATAGCTACATAAGTAGTTGCGGAATAATTTATAGTAGAGACTGAATAAATATTACTAAAACTAAATAAAAAAGATGAACAAGCCTGCAGTTTATGGGGTTAAAATTAGCTTGACAAGTTAACATTTGGTTAATGTAAAGATTTGCATGAGCATGGTTAAAAATTCCTAAAGTCAGTTCATATCTGCAAACTTTCAAATTGTATCAGTTGTAGAGCCAGTCTAACTTTGGTATTTATTTATAAAATTAGCCAATAATGATTTGGTATTACAGAAGCTCAAAACTGAGTAAGAAAAAGAGACATATTGGAAATGACTACGCCTGAGAAACTGCATCTACATTCCAGTTTACAGATTACTGCCTTAAGATCTTAAAAAAACAAATTATAAAGCAGACTTGAATGCTGGTCCAAATATTATATGGAATATAATGAAACACCAAAATTGCTGTTGAAACTGGTCAGTGGTGGGACAAGATGCATTCACCAGATATCTGCATTGTCTCAGAGATAAGATAGAACCATTTGGAGGCACTTCGAAGGTTTCAGGGCTGTAAACAGTAATGATTCTTATGCTCTGTCTTTCTGTATATTGCTCTGTTTTTTCCTCTTTTCTTTCCTTAGTGCTGTCTTAATCTTGCCTATTTGCTTCATATCTTGTGGCTTTGTTTGCTTGCATGGACATTCATGTTCTGCCCTATGCTGAACTCCATCTCTGCTTTATATAAAATGTGAAGCTTTTAACCTTGCTACGAGGTTACTCTGATGACTTATGTTGAGGTTAAACTTCTATGACATAGACATTAACCCAACAGCATGCTTCATAAAAATGATGTGTGGAACTTTTACAACATAGTTTGAATATTTTAAATATTGAAACTGTGGTGGTGACGTTCCATTTCTTCCAAAGATTATTTCATCATAGTGTATCCTATTTCCATGTTCTCAACTGGTGCGCAGAAAAAAACACAATAATATGTAGGTGTGCTTATGTAGTACACATGCCTTGCAACATGCATAGTCCTTGAATGCTGTAGACAAATATTGCATATTAATGAGAAATTTCAAGCAGTTTGGATCTGGATGGATGGATAATTACAACCCCAATTCCAAAAAAGTTGTGACGCTGTGTAAAATGTAAAATTAAAAACAGAATGCAATGATTTGCAAATCTCATAGACCCATATTTTATTCACAGTAGAACATGGAACACATCAGATGTTGAAAGTGAGACAGTTTACCATTTCATGAAAAATATTAACTCATTTAGAACTTGATGGCAGCAACGCATCTCAAAAAGTTGGGACAGGGCCATGTCATTGTGTAGCATCCCCTCCTCTTTTAACAACAGTCTGTAAATGTCTGGGAAGTGAGAAGACCAATTGCTGGAGAGGAATGTTGTCCCATTCTTGTCTGATGTAGGATTCTAGCTGCTCAACAGTCTTGGGTCTTCTTTGCTGGATTTTTTGTTTCATGATGCTCCAAGTGTTTTCTGTTTGTGAAAGGTCTGGACTTCAGGCAGGCCAGTTCAGCACCCTGCGAAGCCATGCTGTTGTAACGGATGCAATATGTGGTTTAGCATTGTCTTGCTGAAATATGCAA